CAACTCCGTAAATGGGATGCCAATGCGGCGAGCCAACTCTCGTTGCTTCTCCATATACTCATCAAATGGAATGCCGAAATGCTCAGCGTTGCTTTCATGAAACTCAAGGTGGTCCTTGGGGATGCCATATTCATCTGTCCTAGAATTAAGGCTCATCATTTCGTCGAGGGGGATCTCCATATGCTGCTTCAAACCATGTCGATAAGTATCGAGCCACATCGAGTGTCCTTGGGTCTCTGCGTCGTAGTCCACCTGGCGCACGTTTAAAAGATCGAGGTACTCGTCCGTTGACCTCGAAGCTGCGGTCTTGCCTCTAAAAAGATCAAGCTGGACTGTAGGCTGCGGTGTCCTTGGGGTGTTGCCCACGCCAGGTAGTCCCGTTCGAGCGTCCCCCGCAGCGTTGACGATGGTGACCTCGGCGCCTTCGTAGATGGCATCCATCTTGGAAATGAGAAACATCTTTTCCTCCAGGTTGTTCTGGTCGATGCAGAGTCGATCCACCCAGAGGTATTTCAGACCCATCATCCTGGTAACTGTCACTGCATCCTTAATTGTCTGCGGCCACTTCTCCTCACCTGGCCCCCACACATAGCTCAGCGCGGCATATTTTTCACCCCACGATACTAGCTCAACGGACAAAGGTCGCTTATTACAGTTGATGGCCCTAAACCCTCGAAGCGTGGCACCGGGCGGCTTCTTCGGTGAGCAGTGTGAACCGTGAGATGCCCCGCAGGTGTATTGCCAGTAACCGACGATTTCGATGTCCGCCTTTGGATCCAGTCGCTCTGGAAGGATGAGTCGTCGGCCGTCTTCACCCTCCACATCCTGGGTTAGTCGATAGATGGAACCCTTTTTGGGCAGCTCCGTCTCCAACCATCGCAGAGCAACTCCGGTTCTCGGTACGCCATGCAACTCCGGCACGACTGCCAGGAAGACGTTGTATTCCATATCACCCCACGGTCGTTTGACCCACCGACCCCTCGCATTTTTCCGCAGAGGCTCGAATAGACTCGTCTCACTGCTGCAGATGGCGAGCAACTTGTAGGTCCCCTTGGCAGGTTCTTGGGCATGTTGCCGGAAGAAAGAGCATAGCTTGCAGAGTCGTTGCTCAGAAAGGCGTCTACCAAAAGATGTGACAAAATAGAAGTCCCGGAGGTAGGTTGGGCCGTCTGGCCCACGGCATGTGACGAGCTGCCGGGTGTTATGTCCACGACGAGCTTCTTCGTACAGGTTATGCGCTCGATCGAAGGCGGCCTCAATGTCTAGCTGTGAACACTCGTTACATAGCTCATCATTTGAACGAAAGGGGTTGTTTTGAATTGGAGAATTGAAGTTGAAGTCCTGCTGGCCGCGGGAAAGGTCCCGTGCACCAAAGCCGCTGAATGACATGGCTTGTAAGGTAAAGCGTAGAGCAGGGAAGACGAGTAAATTCAAAGTTTTACAGAGTTCAACTACAAGACATTCGTCAGAGGCAAGAGGAGGCGCAGGCTATTTTTATCATCAATTCAGATCCTAGCAATGCCAAGTCTTAATTCAGCCTTGCCCCCACGACATATGAAACGCAGCAAAGTGCCTTCGGCAGATAATGGTCCAATTAGATGTCCTCGAAAATGCCACGGCGCTTAGTTATCTGCACAACCTCACCAGCACGAATTTCCTACTTCAAGTAGATATCCATGCTGAAAGACTAAATCAGGCTGGGCAGAGTCTCAGGCTCAAAGCAACAAGCGAGGGCGAAAATTAAACCGATCCACCAAATGTCAGGGGAAGTTCCTCACTCCCCATAGGGCTGAATCGACTCTATCCCCTGTCAATCGGCAATACCAGAGTTATGCGTAGCAAACACAACTGTACCATTACTCTAGGTCGATAGAGGATATAATATAAAAGATGCGAATATTAAACCCTGTATTATCATATTGCACATGAGCAGCACTCTTGGCACCAACGGCAGCCGATGAATTCTGTGTATGTTGGGCTGCGTCGATCATGACAACCAGGGTCGAGGAGAAAATGAGACAACAGGACAAACGTATCAGATAGGCCACCTGTAGAAATCCTCAATAAACTTTAGGGAAATAGACAAAAGAGCTCTCAAGTTGTACCTTTATTTAGCATTATTTTTCCCTTTTTTCCTTTTACATAAACTTATTTCCTGTGTCGGATATAAGTTTCGTCATACCCTATACCGTTCTGGGACCTCGTTTATTTCTTAACCAGGGTGCTGGTTGAGTGAGATGACTTGGAGTTTCGGATAAACAGTAAAAGTCCGGTTTAGCACGACTTCTAGGTCGGATATAGGGCCTCATCCATGTTGGTAGCTCCAGAAACCGAAAAAAGAAGTCGGAGCTTGAAAGGATCTCGTTAATTTCGGCTCTCTCCACTACGGACAGATATCTGGTGATAATATCGTGAGGCTGGATGGGGAGACCTTGAAGCACAATTCAGCAGGGTTACATGAATCAGATAGCAAGCGAGCTGCCACCAGCTTTCGACAGACGCCTCTATGAACATGTCAATGAGTCCAATAGAAAAGATCAGTAAGGTTCAAGTGAAAAATATCTCACAAAAGTTAAGCGAGGAACTTTCTGCATCATCACATCATGGTGAGCTATCAGGATGCAACGTCGGATAACGTTTATCTTTGTAAGACAAATGCCCGCATAATTTTGTCACTTTTCCAACGGCCGAGGCTTAAATGATCCATGCACATGCAGATCACGCGTTCAAGACGTCAATCGGCATCCGCGGCTGCCGTATTCTCCGAGAATAAAACCAACACACTCACCACTCGACAACTTGACACGTAACGATCGCTTCAATAAGTTTAACACATTAGGTACGCTATCATCGTTAACAATGAGCAAAGAACCAGAGGAGAGGAGGTTTTTCAACTATCCCGAGCCAAAGAAAGGGTACAGTCCACGCTGTTCCCCCGCCATCGTGGTCTTGCAGCTGACGTTGCTGCTAGGCCAAATGTTCAATATGCCATCGAGAGGAGGCCCAATCCCGTCCTCACGGGGCCGTTTCTTGTTGTCGCTGCCTTCTTGTGAGTCCGTTTACCTCGCCCCATCAACATTGACTCATATTTCTCAGAATGGAATGGATCCGGTTCATCCGCGAGACCGCTTGGCATAACGCTGGCTTTTCCGATCTCCGCAAGATCTTGCCCGACCTCATGAATGTTGAGCCACGTTATGATCCCACCATTGTTCCGCTGCCTATTTCACAGTCGGAAGTCGAGGCTGGAGGTGAAAGGGTCTCACTTTTGGCCGAGAAAGGCCTCACACAGTCCGAGAAGCCTCTGAAGTTGTACTCAGTTGCCGATTATCGCGCCCTGTACCTCTCTGGAGAGCTGACTCCTACCGATGTGGTCCGAGCCATCCTACCTCTTATCCGTCGCGATGGCAGCCAACCGGGCAAGCACTCGATTGCTTGGAGGGAACTTCAGGTTGATCGAATTCTCAAGGCAGCTGAAGAGTCAACTCTGCGGTACAAGAACGGACAGCCCATTGGTCCCTTAGACGGTATTCCATCAAGCATTAAGGATGATTACGACTATGACGGATACGCCACGAGTCTTGGGTCTGTCAATGATTACGCTGAAGAGGCCGCTGACGGGACATCATCGACAAGCTGGGCGGTTCGTAAACTTGAGGAATCGGGTGCCATTATTATTGGAAAACTGCATATGCATGAGTATGGCTTGGGTATGTCGAAATGTTCTTAACTGCAGGGCATCATTAACTTAGGCAGACACCACCGGAAATAACCCACACCATGGCACACCTCCTAACCCATATAACCCCAAATATTACACTGGTGGAAGCTCTTCTGGTCCAGCTTATGCCGTCAGCAGCGGAATCATTCCCCTTGCTCTTGGCAGCGATGGCGGTGGCAGCATCCGTATTCCAGCGTCGTATTGCTCACTGTTTGGACTCAAGCCAACTCACAACCGTATCACCTGCTGGCCTGGCCCGAATCACTCCCCAACTTGCGCAGTGCAGGGCCCTCTCGCCATCGATATGGAATCCCTAGTGGCCGCATACGAGACAATCGCAGAGCCACACCCGTCAACTCAATATCCTCCTTTGAGGCTCCAGCCATCACCACCCGTGACCAAGGTTCTCGGTATTTATGAAGCATGGTTCTCTCGCGCAAACCTTAGCGTACAGAAATTGGTCCGTGGCCTTGTCGACTCGCTCGTTGCTCAGTATGGGTACACTGTTATCCCTATCGAGATCCCCTTTGCTGCTGAAGGCCAGATGGCTCACGCTCTCACTGTCCTAACTGACGCCTCGACGTTACTTGTTGATACCCGGACGATTACTCCTGCTAATAAGATTTTGCTGTCCCTGGGTCGCACCACTCCGTCTACAGATTATCTTTTAGCGCAGAAGCTGCGAAACCTAATCATGGAGCACCTTGCTTACCTCTGGAAGCAATACCCTGGAATGATGATTATCACGCCAACAACATCTTGCGCAGGCTGGCCTGTCAAGTCTGGCCAGACAGAGTTATCGTATGGTCTCAACGACGGAAGCCGTACCTTGGAAAGCATGGAATACGTCTGGTTAGCCAACTTCTGCGGCCTTCCAGCAATAAACGTGCCTGCTGGCTACGTGGTTCCCGAAGGTAGCAAGGGGGCTGGAGAAATCGCTACCAAGGATACTGAAGGAATGGTACCCGTCGGGCTCATGGCAACGGGCGAGTGGTGCAGTGAAGATGCCCTATTGCGGTTCGGTTTCGATGCTGAAGCTGCGGGTCAGGATAGACGTTGCAAGCCTCCTATCTGGGAGGACATTATCTCCAGAGCTCAGACGGAGGCCAAGACGAATGAGGCTGTTGGGAACGGCATCAATGGAGATTTATGAGAACAGTGATAATCAGACAATTGTAGAGACAGTAATCAACTAGCTACAACGAGAAGAGTCAAAGAGAGATATATATTTGCCTCCGCCAGTTCTCCTGAAAACGCATTTTCTTTCGCCATTGCACACTTACACAATCACCAAACTCTCTCGCTGGATTGAATCAAGCCAAGTGCAAGTGATTTCAAGGTCAGTGAGACACCCAATCCTCTCATAGTCCTCAGATCCTGAACGCCTCCGCACCAAAATACCCCTCGCCAACTTCTCTTCTCGGGGTTCTCGGGGATCAATGTCCGCGATAGAGATGATCACAGCTTTGTAGTCCTCCTCGCGAAACGACGCCTCATCAATCTCCAGCTCGCCACTCTTGAAGGTGTTGGATCCACCGCGTGCTCTAGCATTCTCAACAAACGTCAAGAGAGCGCTTTGTTGGCCATTCGTAATTAGGAATATGCGTAACGCAGAAGTATCAGGGTTTTCCCCTTCAAGGCACTCGTCGTATCCGCACCACCCTATGGATCTGAATCGAAAACCATCCGCCTGAAGCACTTGTCTGCTGCGTATCAGCGGTATCGTGCGACCGTCAACCACAAGTCGACTACTCTTAACTTTTCCAAAAGGGCAGCTAGGGCTTAACGGGCATACGTCACAACTCACAACTCTTAAGTCCGTGTGCCATGTCCTGTCCCAACCCGATTTAAACATCCCGACAAAGGTGATTGGGCTATCTGTGGTTGCCCATGACCACGAGGGCGCCCGGTAAGGAGACACGTGTGGCGCGTGTGATGATGGCAATGCTTTCCACATTAAGCCCCGGGGAAGGTCCATCTCCCATAGCCCTGCGAGATACGTGGGCGATGCGTTTTCTTGGGCAAGGTTGTGGCTCAACGCTTTTGCTATCGCTGACATGGCGGGTAGTTTGTCCGAGCGGTACGACAAGGCTCGTGCAGAGTAACGAGAGATAAGGCCATAATAATCGACCATAACATTGAATAAATCAGCTGACGTCCTAGAGCCGCAAGGAGGAGTGGAAGAGTGTAGAATTGGGTCTATCATGTTGGTCGTCCTAAACAGCACATCGCGGACATCAACGTCAGACAATTTAGTCGAGCGAATCTTTTGAGGGCATTTCCAGTATATCCCTTTCTCGCCGTAGATCAAGCATTTCGACGACAGAGCCTGCTCTTGAAATGTCCAGCCACGAGTGGCCAGGGGACTATGCGACCACATCTGCTTGTATGACTCCCTTGGGAAAAAGCACCTCACAGATGCCATGACAGTGGTAGAGTCCTCAGGGTCAGAAAAGACTTTAATCTGGGCATCTTTTGGGCATGAGGTAGAAGGCTCTCTGTTGAGGATTCCTTCGTTGCTGTTCTTGGACGCTGCAGCGAAGAGGCCTAGGGTGGAATCGCGAAATACGGGCCCCATGCTGTTCAACTCTTGCTCCCAATCCTCTGTAGAGTCCTGGATAATACATAGCGAGTCAATCCACAGATATTGGATGCCCAGGTTTCGCGTGATGGTGATGGCGTCTCGAAAGGTGGCTGGCAGTGACGAGCAGGGAATTGAGTTCTGGAACTTATCCAAGTTGTCTAATTTCAGCACCGGTTCGATTTCGCCTCCCCAGGAATGACTCAATGCAACATATTTGGCCCTTATTCCTTGGGAGCAAAAGATGCGCACTTTGTCATTCTGGGCATCCGCTAGCAGGGTTCCGACGTCGATAACTCGGGTAGGGAGCATTGGCGTTTTGCTTGGCCAGCAGCCTGCATGGTCCTTCTCACAACGATGAAGCCACTCATTGACTCTAGCGAAATTGGATGCTGAGCCGAGGACTTGATCCTCTATAGTATAGTTGACCGAAAATGGACTTAGATGGGGAATGCACTCTGGATGGTAATTCTTTGTTAGCCTGGAGGCATAGTCTATGGTTATGGATAGCACTGATACCTTCTTTTGCTATCAAGAAAACTCTCACCTCCGCAAAGCCATCCAGAGCCTCGATGCTTGTCTCTCCCACCATAAAGACGATGGCATCAAGCACTTCGGGTGGGCTAAGGGAGTCGGCATTCCCATGTTCCAGGTCTATCCATACCTTCACATTTGACCGTTCAAGATTTCTGGCTTCCTCGCAGAGATTCCGCCTTTGAAAGCCTTCAAGGGCCAACCGACACAGATCGCAACCGGCAAGCGCCGCGGCTTCGAGGTCGCTGAAGGAATCGTGATGCTTGTAGGACGCCTGCCCTCGTTTGGGTTTTTGACGTCTGAGTGCAACAAGTGACTCAATTGTCAACTTGGAGCAGTAAATACATGGATTGGACATGGTGAAAAGAGTAGTTGAGAGTGCTCATTTGGTTGAAAATGGCAAATTCTCAGCGCCTGGTCAAAATTCCCGCCAACTGTTATCCGTAGCAGGCAGCCGCATGCCTTGGCTTACGATATCGGGTTTCTATTGGCCCCCAAGCCGCTGAGTTGGCACAGCCTCAAACCACCACTTCTCAGAGGAGAGACATGCAAGTCCCGTTTGAATCTGTTTCCTTCAAGGCATTAATTACCCCAAAAGCTATAGTTCTCGCATCATCAACAATGTCCTTAAGAGAGACCATCGGATAAAAACAGCGAAAGAGACAGTTATTGATACACGAAAGCATCAAAATCTAATCGCGATATGTGATACACTAATCCAGATGGCCATCAGTCTAATACGTTGCTGATGGGTAGTTTGATCGAATACAATATTTATCATCTAATTTGCTCAGCTCTGGCTGTTAATCTCTTCAAACACCCGAACGGCATCCACAAATCCATTCTCCTTAGCAATTCTAAGAGTAGATTTACCATCCTCGTTCTTCACGTTGTGATCGAAGATGCGCTATTGCGGTTCAGCTTTGATGCTGAAGCTGCGGGCTAGGATCGACGTTATAAGCCTCCTATCTGGGGGGATACTATCTCGAGAGTTTAGACAAAGGTTAAAATCTAATACCGTAAAACACTGTAACTTAATGAATGAGTTGAGTCATGTGCAAGTGATGGCCAATCTCGAGAGACAGCTAGCCCTCTCATCCTCTTCACATTCTGCCCTCCTGTCCACCAAAATACCCCCCTTTTTCGCCATAAACCACGCATCTTGTCACCGTATCCTGTCAAGAACTAGGTATAGTATAGAGACTACTAATTTATAGAATTGACTCTGGCAACTAAGTCACAACAGCATTTGCGCGAGAGCAACGGAAAAGCACTGACAAATGCTTCGTGCGACCTGAAACAACTATCAAAACTGCGTACATCCTCCATCCAATTCCAAGACACCGCCCTTCGCATGCCCTCATCCATGAACGAAAGCTACATTTGAGGCAACGTCACTGTCGCTATCGGCACCTGTGGACTCTGTCAAGCTAGCTTGAGAAGGAATTTGAGAACTCTGTGACAGGTCCTGACCATCATGAATTCGCAGAAAGTAGTGTTTTCTTCCAGGCTCCAAGACGTCGTTGGCCACCTCGATCGCAGTAGATACCCGAAGTTCCTCACAATAAGAGCCGGGCGAGAGCGTCTCAGAGATCATTAGTCGTTCTTTCAAGCGGCGCAGGGTTTTGAGTCGACGACGTGGTTTCATACCTTCCTCATCTGGTGCTCTAGAAATCTCACTAAACAGGTGCAAGCTACCCCTGTCAACTTTGATACCTATAGAAATGGACGCTTTCGGCCCTTTGCGAGACATGTCGAGGGCGTCATTGCTCGCCGTTTTTATCCGAGCATAGAACATGCTCACCCCGACAGACACGACTGGAGAAATTGCTTTGGCCTCCAGAGTGATTGCGCCGAGATGCTGGTCCATATAGCCTTCTCCCGACTCCCCTAGAGTCAGGCCCAAATGCATCTGGAGTCTCTCTGTGTCGAAAATGGGCAGGAAGGTTACCTCGCTCATATGACCAGTACCCTGGGTCAACGGGGGTGCGATCCATGTCTGCGCGTTAGGAAGTTTATCCATGACTATAAGCGATCTTGTCTCGAAAAGCCTGGCAGAGTTCTTCGATATGGTCACCGGTCGTGGTGGGTATGGGTCTCGGCAGACATAAAGCAGATCTCCTCTTTTCGTGCCTCTGACTGGAATGCATAAGGACTCTCGGTCGTCGAGAACTTTGCTTGCGGGCCCAGCTAGTAGAGTGACGAAGTAGTGGTATTGCAAATTTTGGGCATACGAAGTGACCGAATACATGACAGGCAGTCTGATCGATAGGCCAGCATTTGTCATTGAGAATATAGATATTTCATCCCGTTCTGAGTTGTCTTCTTCGCTCGAAAACTCGCCGGCACCCTCGAAGTGGATAGGCGACGGGGCAAGCAAACTCGCCCAGTCCCTGGGGACGGAAGATGTCCATGTCCAGCAAAAGATAGTGTGATCATTGGTCTTTTTGATGATCTCCTCTTGAAGGCGAGTAAAAGCTTTTCGACCCTCTCCATAGAGTAATGGCATGTTGATATCGAAAATACCAAGGACACAATATGCCATGTCCTCAACTCGTGTGGTCGTTCTCTTGGCTAACCAGGACATTCTTTTAGCGATACAAGCACGGTTGACTTGTCTTCTACCATTGAGATAAATCCGGTCGATGCCAGTAACTTCAGTAATCAAGTCCGCTAGCCATTCGTCTTTTCTTCCTATTCTGGTCCAATCCGCGGCGTAGAACGTCAGGTGCTCGGGTGCAATCAGCTCTTGAAGTGTCCAGCCGCGAGTGAACCACCGGCTATTTCGAATTTGCCATAGCAAGGACTTTTTATCGAGGCCCTTGGCAGAAGGTACGTCGCTGAGATAGGCGAAGCACACCTTGGACTTCTGATAATACGCAAACATGGAATTTATAGCCTCGCTCAGTTCAGCCGAACTGGTCTTGTCGATGCAGTTCGTATCAACCCACATCCACTCAAGACCTCGAATTACGGCCTGCTGACAAGCGCACTGGACCTTGGTGAAGCCGGATTTTGTAGCAGCCGTGTGTGTGCGTGGGTCTTTCCAGTCTTGAAACGTGACCTCTTGGTCTCCCCAGGTATGAGATAAGATTGCATACGGCGGTATGTTCTCGCCATGGAACTCGTGGAGTAATAGGGTATTGGCATTGATCAGGCGCATAAGGAAAGAGTCCCGTCGGCATACGCTCAGAAATAGTATAAAGGGGCACTAGAAGGATTATCGAAAGTTGGGGAAATTTGATGTAGTCGAGGTTGAAAATTGCCTAGGCAAGAGGTAAAACCAAGTCTTTCCACGATCGTAGGTGCAAAAGCGGGGTTAAATATCTCTCAGGCTTCCTATTGAAAGCCTGGTACTGGCAGGACCTAAAATGCCGCGCAAGAATCCTACTCATCGAATCAAAACACCTTTATATCTGTAGCCACCTCAGTAATATGCGGGAGCGGGGAGCTGCTTATCTCGGCTTTCCGACTACCCACCCACTTCTGGGTCTCGTCATAATTGACAACTGGCAACTTACGCCCGGCTGCTGTGTGTGGCAACCCTCGTAACTGGGCTCAGACGACAAAGTGCAAGACGGGCTGCATGCCACAAGACTCGGGCAATGGTTGCCTGATGGCTTGAATCTTGGCGTTGGCTGTAAACATGCAGTGAGTTCCATTTTCGTCTTACTCACGTGCAACTGGATGGCCAATGACTGGAGTTTAATGGAACAGAAGCACGGCATCGATCACAACCACAGATTCTTAAATATTGACTCTTAAATATCGACTATAAAAATAACAGTCGTCCCCACCATAACACCCCGGCCAACATCCCGGTATACAAGTTCGGCGACACAAAAGCTTAGCAGCGAGTTTGTATATATGTTCCCGCCGACCTGAGCTTTGATCGAAGCGACGACGAAGAAAACAGTCATGTCGAGCGCGCTGTGCTGTGGAACGGCGACACCCATCGACACCTTGTGTCATAGACTTCATTAGGTCGAGTTAAGCCAAGCTGCTGTTAATCTCTTCAAACACTCGAATGGCATCCTCAAATCCTTTCTCCCTGGCCAATTCAAGGGGGGTTTTATGATCCTCGTTCTTCAGGCTGGGGTCCGCGCTCTTCACGTTGGGATCCGCTCCCCTTCCAACCAAGAACTCAACCTTGTCCATGTTTCCAGTCTCAACTGCGCAGTGGAGTGCCGTGCCGCAACAGCAACCAAGCCACGTAACTGACACTTCCCACATGTATGGGAACGTGAGCTTGTTGATGGGAACACCGACCTCGTCGAGGAGATAAGCCATTGTGTCGATTTGAAGATCTCCTTCCCGGTGAGCTGCCTCATGAAGCGCATTCGTCTGTTTAAAGTCGACTCCGTATTCTCGAAGTAGCTGTATAACAGCAGGTGATGCCGTTTTGCCAGCCAAGTGTGGAATGTCAAAGCTATCATCTCCATACATGGCGTTGGGATTAGCACCAAGTTCTAGTAGCCCACGGACACATTCTTCCTTGTGTATAAGTCGCCTATATGCAACTGTCAGCACAACGGTAGACCTTTTATCCGAGGAAGCGTACCCTAGGAGCGGAGGTTCAGTATCACTGCTGAGGTAGCCGTCAATTCTCCATCCGCTGTCCATATTGGCCTTGACAACACCCCAATGGCAGCGGCGAGCAGCCCTCACGAGGACATCAGTTTCGTACCGCATGCCCATTTCTAGCAGGTATCCAATCACCTCAGAGTTGCCTTCGTTGGCCATCTCTCTAGCGACAGAGACGAACTCGCGGTGAATAATGTACTGCCATCGAAGGACCGTCCTTCCAGGTGGTCTCAGTTCCTCATCCTTCAACATATGCCATCGCTCAAGCTCTTGCCGCAGGCGTGGCATGTCTCTGTCTCTTGCGGCGTCGAGCATTTTGGAATGAATCTCCTTCTCCCTGGTAGTGGGCGCTGGCTCAAGTGGTACATGAAACATGTTGCTGCAGTGCGATTTTCGACTCGATATGTGCTCGGGGGTTGCATAAATGCTATTGCATATCGTATTTCAACAATAAGACCGTTTTTCAGTTGGGCCAAGTTTTGTGAAGTGCTGACGGGAAAAGAAATGTTGCCTGCTGCTGACTTGGGGAGAAATTCGCCAATGACCATGTCACGTGCTGGCCTTGGCCTGTCTTACACCTCTCAATCTGGTGATGTGTTGAAAGGCCCATGGCTTTTCTTCAAGAAATGCATTCGTGAAAACACCCAACTTGGTATTGTATAGTTAGCCATTACTTTAATATGGCGAAGGATTTGTCGATGCAGTGAGGATAGTGTTGATTTACTCCGTACATGGGTCAGAACTGAATCTCAGCCTGATCCGGAAAACCGCAACCATTCTCTTAACATCATCCACTGCAACGGCCGCCGGACCCTCCTTTTCCCCCCCTGTATTTACGCCGTGGTGTATATCCATCCCTTTACTCGCTCCGATCACATTCAAAACAGCCAAGTTCATAATAGTTTCCGGCACCTACGCCCGCCGTGGCTGGCATAAAGTACGCGCTGTCACCCATTTTCTGAGAAAAGATGAAGCAGATCGGGTACGGGGGGCTCTCGCGGGGATCATAAAGCTCCACGTAAAGTGACACGCAGCTTTCTGTTTCTGCGCACAACTTGACGCATGTCTCCAAGTTTGCCGCAAGACTCCGGATGGGGGAGTTGTATAGGTGTCCTGAGCGCCGGACAACCTTCTCGCAGACACTGCCGTCTGGAGCCGTAGCAGCGGGAGTGTAGGCTGGGCATGGGAGAGTCGAAGTAGGTTCCGGAGACGACGACGTGGTTGAGGGTATGCTCGATGGTATGCAGGGGTTAGCATTAGCTAACGAAGAAGCCAATGCTAGGAGAGGAACGGCGATCAGTTTGAGGGAAGGCATTTTTGGGAAGGCTTCAAGTTTGGATAGACAAATGATCCGTAATTCAGGTGCCAGTCCAAATTACAGCGGCACGACGCGCTGGCACGACGCAAGATGGAGTTCTTATAGCTGAAAGATACCCCTGCGTAGATACGGAAATAACAATTGCTGTTTATTATGGGTTAGTCGAGCTGGGTCTTGATTAAAGACTATTTGCTTAGCGCAGTGCTGACTCGACTCGAAAAGGCAAAGCGAGGCGGAACTATTGACGCCACACCTAACGCTTTCAATAGTTCACATCTAAAATGCCTGAGTCCCCACCACTCAACACCTGTCAACCTGGCCTGGGTGAGATATTATTGGCTTCATTTTTCTCTTCGACTCTAGCCACGTTGGCCCGAGATCCCTGTCAGGGGGTCGAAAGGCTCCGATTTATGCTCGGCTACGCGAGGTATGTTTCTATTCCTTGTTTGGATCACACGGAGGAATCTTTTGCCTCGTTGTGAGTTGGCATATTATCGGCTGCGTCGTGGACATGTATTCTGTCTCTAAGATCATATGTTTTTACTTATATAAAAGCTCTCTTTGTGTCTGGCAAGTGCGTCATTGAAAAAGCAGAATAAGAGCTCTCCAAGCCATGTCTTTTTTCTGTTTTGGGTTCCAATTCCACTGTAGGTTAATAGGTAGTAAGTGCTTATTCTCTGTATAGGCAGGAGAGGAAAGACAACACTTCAGGTCGAATACGAGGATATTTTCCAACGGCAGGCCGTTTTCAGAGGCCAAAAAAAAACCTGATTTCGAAGCTCGAATTTACATCCAGCTCGCAAAGGCCTACAAAAGCAGCCTCGCGATAACGATTACAGATTGATGGCGGGGCTCAATTGACCACGGCCGAAAGGGGAAGTCGGTGAGATGGCAACAATGGCCGCTTGACGCACGAGTTGACATCTAGTATACCTTTTCAGATTTCGCATGCCCGTAGCGACTATTACTGTTGGATTGGGCCCTGTATACGGAGTATGTAGCTCTGAGGGTGGTCACGTGCCTTCGATGGCCGGCCGAGAGAAGTCCGGCTCGTCCGATAGGCTAGACCCAACTAGGAAGGCCACTTCGAGGCCTGAAAAGGAAGGAGGAAATAGCTTCAGGCGGACCGACAAGCAATACACGCAGATTGGAGCCATCTACAAGGATAGCCCAACTTTGCGGCAATTACGTGCACATCCGGCTACACAAATAAAGTCCGACTCCTGAGGCCCTATCTCTATCATGATGACGCGTGCTGAATTACAAGCCTTGATTGCACTGAAACATAGGCCCTGAATACGCCCAAGTCCAACAGCAGCTTGCAATAGCAGCATGCCGTTGTCATCATACAATTAGCTCTGCTAATAAGAGAAAAAGATATAATAAACAAATATGTCAATAATTCAATCCTAGTTGTTAATTTTTATCTACTAACTACTAGATCTAATGACTGTTGAGGCAGGTTTATTGCATGAGGACACCTCATGGTCAGGGCATGTACTCGCTTAATGAGGCGTATAAACCGGCCAAGTTGCCGTTCTGGGTCTCTCCAACTTTGCAATACTTAAAGAGTCCTTGCAACTATAGCATCCTCGGGTTAGTGACTAAACTTTCCCGACCATGAAGATGTCAGGAAGACCGACAACGGACTTCGCCGTCTCTTTCTATTGGCCAGCCGAGGGGACTAGGTCAGGTCCCAGGTGAGGTGATATCGGCTCACCCTAACACGCTGATCCCTCCTCAATGAGCCAACGGTCCGAAGTTTCAACACAATCTAGCCATAGTGCCATATTACCAGGGCTCGTCCGTATCTTTGACCCCTTGCTCGCGTGCGTAATTGCCCACCCCCGCATTTCCCCTCCAGCTAGGATCAACCATGATATTGCCCTGTTATCAAGAGTCTCCAATTTTTAGTGTTACGTTGCGCAGTATTAATATAGGCCTCATTACTCCCTCTGCTTTCTGCCTCATTTTCAGTCTACAGTTCTTCCCAGTGGATCCGGAGAACGGTCTGAACGATGAAGTCACAAGTCGTCGGTGCTCTCTTGAGCTTGGCTCATAGTGTCCAAGCTCACCCCTACCCGGACTACTATCCACCTGCTACGTCACCATCGCAATCGAATCGCTTCACCAACAAGCTTGGCGGCGTTGCTTGTGAAAATGAGATTTGCAGCACGATCGGTGTCGACATTCTCCGCGCTGGCGGTAATGCAGCTGATGCTATGGTGGCAACGGTTTTCTGTGTCGGGACAACCAGTGAGTGACTAATGTCCAACTATACGAACAAGTAAAATTATAACTTACTTTCGACAGGCATGTACCACTCTGACTTAGGTGGAGGCGGCTTTATGCTCATTCACAAGCCTACTCGCAAGCAGGATGTCTCGCCGTACGAGTTCGTCGACTTTCGTGAGACGGCGCCGGCTGCGGCCACCGAAGACATGTTCAAGGACAATGTCAATGCCAGCATCTACGGGGGCCAGGCCAGGTACAGCATCTTACAAAATTCTCTCGCAAACTATTTACTGACCTGGGCAGCGGCGTCCCTGGAGAGTTACGAGGCTTGGAGCATCTGCACAAGAAGTACGGCCGCTTGCCATGGGCAAAGCTGGTACAACCCTCCATCAACGTGGCTCGCTATGGATTTCCCGTTCACGACGACCTTGTCAAATTCATGAAGACAACCTATACAAAGTTCGAGAATGAGAGTTTTCTCGTCACAGACCCGGCCTGGTCTATTGACTTTGCTCCTTCAGGCAGTCTGCTCAAGCTCGGCGAGAAGATCACCCGCAAGAGATATGCCGATTTCCTCGAAGCGATTGCTATCAGTGGCGCTGATGTTTTCTACGAGGGTGCATTTGCAGATGCCATGGTCCGGGCACTTAAGCAAAAGGGTGGTATCATGACAACAGAGGATGTCAAGAACTACTCCGTCGTTGTTCGAGAACCCTCCCAGATCAACTACCGGGGTGGCAAGATCACCAGTGGCTCCGCTCCTTCCAGCGGGGCAGTTGTTGCGACCATCATGAACATCCTCGGTGGCTATGATTTCATCGGCGATCCTACACGGGTGAATGAAAGCACTCACCTAATCGATGAAGCCATGAAATTTGGTTATGGCATGCGCACCAAGCTGGGTGACCCAAGCTTCGTCAAGGGCTTGTCCCAGTACCAGACCGAGATGCTTTCAAACGCCACCGCGGAGGAGGTCCGATCGAAAATCACGGGAAAGCCTTTGGGGCTTGGGGCCTACGATCCCCAGGGCTTGGAGTCTTTGGATACGCCTGGAACTTCACACTTGGTCGCCATGGACAAGTCTGGTCTGGCCATCTCTCTCACAACTACCGTCAACCTCATCTTTGGCTCTCAGGTCATGGTGCCAGAGACGGGCATGGTCATGAACAACGAGATGAATGACTTCAGTATTCCCGGAGAATCCAATGCCTTTGGATATATCCCAAGCGAGGCCAACTTCGTCCGACCTGGCAAGCGGCCTCTTTCCAGCATCAGCACCTCCATTGTCGAAAATCCCGACGGCACTGTTTCTCTAGTCACTGGTTCAGCCGGTGGCAGCCGTATCATCACAGCGACTCTTCAGGTCATGTTGAACGTCCTGGAGAAGAACATGACAGCCCACGAGGCATTGGCCGCACCACGAATGCATGACCAACTTGTGCCGCAACAAGTCAGATTCGAGTACGCATTTGACAACTCGACGATAGCATACATGAAGGAGATAGGATGCAACATCACTTGGGTGGCGCCGGGACAGAGCACAGCTCAGGCTTTGAGGCGGTTGGCGGACGGGTCGTTTGACGCGGCCGGAGAGCCCCGGCAGCCAAACTCTGGCGGATATTCCACTTAAACAAAGACATGTTATGCAGTGACTAGTTAGAGGTAGTTATAATATATACCAATTGTCACTTTGATCTTGAGGCCATGCAAAATACTGAAGCTGTGTAGCCACATATGTAAAGTCTTTATCACACCTCCCTGATCGATACACACTTCTGAGAGCGTGACTTTTAAGTTCTACAGTTGTATGCAGCATAGAGCTTACAGCTTCCACACTTCCAAGTTGCGATACCGTCCAACAAACGGATTCATCTGCCGAAACCCAATACGCCCATCCCGAACAACAGGACCCGTAGAACGATCAACATCCTCCCACTCAAACAACACCAAGCCGTTGACAGAAAATCGAACATCTCGCTTGTCCTTGATGACTTCGACCTTGTAATAGGCTCCTTGGGTATCCTCCACAGAAGGGATAGGGTCAGCGCCCTGGGAGACGAGGTGGAAACCAGGCGACTTTCGGAGATTGGCAAGGTGGAAAGCTCGCTCTTCAGGCCATCGTCGACGAAAGTATGAGGCGTGTAGAGTTCGGATGTCGCCAGAGTGGTACTGAGGATAGGAACCATTGCGAGGTGCCAAGTTCTTGTCAAAGATGCTGCCACCTGCTACAGATGCAGCACCAAAGAAAAACATAGCCAGGCCGGGCTCTTTGATAGGCGTGAATTCCCAGGTGATGCGAATGCGGTCAGGAAAGACTTCAGGAGCCCAAAAGACAAAGTGGTCGTCAATGCCGCCGGCGCCGCTCAATTCCAGGGTGTGGTTGTTGACGGTAGCCTTGACAGGACCTTCTGCGACCCAATCAGCAACGGCATCGCTGCTGTCAAAGGTATTTCGGTAGAGAAGCTTCTCCGCGAGAGCCGACGAAGCCAGCATGAGGGGATAAAGAAGGAGAGATCGCATTTTGTCTGGGTGCAAAAGAGAGGAACACAGATGAGCCCTTCCAAGAGAATAATCTGCTTTCCTGTCGAATTATATACACGCCAAGAGAGCTTGTCTCGTCATTTATTAGACTCTCGCCTGCTACTTCCGGGCCAATGGCCGAAATTATTGCCATGACGAACTGCAGCTGTGATTCGCGGATATTCTACTTAATACAGAATAGCCTCGAGACCCTGCCATGTTGCCATCCGCGAAGAAAAGATGTCATGAGGTTTTAAGGCGACGATCGTTTCTTCAAGTGTCACAATTGGTCAGGCTAACAGGGAACTCGTCAACCAAATCCCACCAATCACCTTTTTCACGCAGGTTGCGGAATCAATGTCGTCTTTTCACTCATTAATCCGCTCAACACGCTTTTTTATCCTTTATTAATGGCACGCAAAGTCATCAAGCCGAGAGTGGCCCGATGTGTGATGAGAAGCTACTCGGTTTCGCTATAAAGGCTGACTACTGCAACATGCAAATCAGGAAAATGTTCAATTTCATTATTTCTCCGACTCGGCGTTAGACTTGATTCTGTCGAGCAGCAACTTGGCGATAGCTTCGTGTCCACTTTTGGTAGCCCGGGCTAGTGGTGTTTCAGTGTCTTCGCCGTGTTCCCAATAGCTATGCTTATATGCAGGATCGGCTCCGTTAGCAAGCAATATCTTGACAGCACCAAGATGGCCATTCTCCGCAGCCGCGCACAGAGGCGTCAATCCGTCACCAGGCCACGTGAACAAGTCGAAAGACCCTATCTCATCTACAGCGTTGATGTTGACTCGACCAGTGTTGATAAGTAGCTCAACGATTGACTCATGTCCATTCTCAGCAGCATATGACAGCGGAGTTCTGCCCCAATTCCTCTGGGCAGCATTCTTGGAGTCGGGGTCGACGCTGTCTTTCTCTAGAAGCAATTTGACGATGGCTACGTGGCCCATTTGGGCGGCGTACGACAACGCCGTCATGTCTCCATGCCACTTGAAGCTAGCCGCTGAGTTTGGATCTATACTGCCTGACTCAAGCAGCGACCTCATGACAGTGTCAAGGTCAAAGTACGCTGCCAGGTGTAATCCTGTCGCGCCATCTGGGTCCGTACCGCCGCCAGTACCGGAGCCCGGTTCATAGCGTGTCGAGCACAGCAACGCCTGGCCTGCAGCCTCAACTTTCCGGCCGCTTTCGAGAAACTCTATGATTTTCTCTGTCAGAGTGGGAGCCTTGCGAGCATGGTGGCCCCAGTGCTGCGTGGCGTAGTCATAGAGAGGATTTGAGCGCAGACGTTCGATGAGCTCCTCGTCCCCATAGAGAGCCCCAGCCTCAAAAACGTCGAATGAAAGGTATGTGAGACAAGTTTTTGTAATCTCTGCATCAGCCTCTGGAAACCACGTTCTCTGTGTCCGTTCAAAGTATTCCTGTGTGGTGTAGTGGACCAACCGGATGATGCTGCTCTCGTTTTCGATCGTGACCAATCCACAGCAGGCCGAAACCATTCCTTGAATGTCTGGGAGATTCTCTTCGTCGAATTGAGTAGTATCGGGCTCCACTGCGAGCGCGTGCTGGAGCTCCAGTTGAGTAAGTGGTCGTTTCGCGCAGGTAATCCATGCCAGAACCTGGAGTGCAATATTCCTCAAGCCTGGCTTTTGACTGTTGATTCTCTCCAAGGCCTGCTCGTATGCATAGTCCAGCGCTTGGGCTTGACCAGCTTCCCCTGGTCCTTGAATTTGCTTGCGGAGGTCCTTCAGGCCGTTTCTGATGCCCTTGGGTGTCAGTTTGTCATCAAGTGAGTCAAGAAAGATCTGCGCCAGAAGAAACCTAGACCAATAGTTAGCCAATTTCGACACGGAGGTTTCTTTGATGCATACATTCCATCCACTGCTGCTGATATTCCGACCTTGATCTCCTCTTGTAACTGCTTGTTCCGGCGGACAAAGGGTTGGAGATGCTCCATACGTCCTTTCACGTATCTCTCGACATCTTCACTGCTTGCCCGTATCTCCAATGTTGTTCCATTTTCAAATGTGTCAACAATATCGGGTATAAATCTTGATGTAGCAAAGATGTTCACGCCACACCTGGCCCGGAGTTTGAACAGCTCTGAGAGAAGACTGGCTCGGCAGCCATCCGAAGCTTGACATTCATCAAGTGCGTCGACGACAATGAAGAGACGTGAGCATCCAGCAGATACGGACTGCAGCGTTGCTAAAAGTTCGTCAAGTGATGGCCGCCTGCTGCTTCCCTTACACTGGCCCTCGAGAGCGCTGACGCTGTCCGGTAGCCGATTCAGATGTTGGATACACTGCCTCAAGATGGACGCCAGCAAGTTGTTAAGCTTTTGGTCATCTTTCCTGCGGAAGTTGAAGTAGATGTATGCAACAGCAGTGTTGGTATCGCCAAGAAATTTTGCTGTGAGATCTTCAACGACGGTCGAGGTCAGGATTGTCTTTCCAGCGCCTGGCATGCCCGGACAGAATAGCGTATTGCCGACAGTCGTCAGCCAACTTTGGTACTCTTTCGATTCCAAGAGCCACTTTCCAGTTCCTGGTTGCCGTCGACTAATAAAGTCTTGCTGTTGAGCGGCGTAGTCAAGCGGCGTGAGCCAATCGAGGGTCTTGAGACGCTACTCGTTGTCTTGCTGAAGATTCAGTCGATCCACGCCATATTTGATAGCATACATCGCTTGACTGTCCCTGTTAGCACTAATCGGGAAGATATTCCAGAAAAGGCAGTGCGATCGTTACCTGGAGATCCCACCAAGAAATGTGTTAAGTAGCGTCGTGTTCAACGTGATCCGCTCTCGCAGCTCCCGAATATCGTCTGGTTCCCAATTGACTCGCTTCCAAACCCTCTTTACCCGGCTTCTCAACTTTCCATTACCCGAATGCAAATCCCTGTACTTGTCCAGCGTCTCTTCCAAGGTCTCAAGCACATCCTGACAGCTACTAACGAGATGCTGTAGGTCTGACCGCTGGTATGCATCGAGTTCGGTCTCGGAAGCAGTGACTTCGACATCGGATAGGACGATCGAGAGACTTCTAACTCTATTACAACAAGTCAATAGGCATTTTCGGGGACTCAGCGCAGCCAAGCAACCAACTCCTTGGATATGTCTTCGAACTGGCTCGGAGCACTCCGAAAATCTTTGCGGACCTTGTTGACGAGCTCAAGGACCGCAATGAAGTCGCCAACACCGAAGCCAAAGCTCATATTCGTGTGTTTGCTTTGGAACCTTTGAAAAACTTAGGTCATGGGAAGTAGTTGTATTGAGTTGGCAACTTTGGCACTCATCAGGCAGAGAGATTTAGGAGTGCGGGGTTTATGCAAGAGAGAATCAGCTGAAGGATGACCGGCTGAAATATGACAAGTCGGCCATGAAAACTGCATAACCAACCAGCAGCCAGATAATCATCCTGTCTGAGCTTGGCACATTCTTCCACCATACTCTTTACAGTTGTCTCTAGAGAAGGCAAGTTTCCTCCTGCCACTGGGGCGCAAGAATGAGTATCAATGCGTGGCGGTGCAGAGTGAGATCCTCAGCTGCGTCCTGACCAACAGCGTAAGCATTGCACCTTTATCTACGCTTCGAAGAGGATTGCATGTTCTTAATTCCGCTTGACAGTTGCCTAGTGGAGGAAGTCATAGCTTCAGATTAGATCTATCATAGCTGGGGCCTATTCCAGCCGCCAGAAGCCGGCCCGCATAACAACTTGATCTGGTTATGGATATGTCGATCTCCCCTGGTCTTTCTGCCAGCGGCTATTGGTAGTAATAACAACGGACAATAAGTCGTTGTTGACTGAACTTGATCAAAATCTCCGTAGGCTGGGGGCGGGGTGTCCAGAAAAGCTCAGGATAAGTAAGACACTCATACCACAGCTGCCTTATATCCAAGCTTTAATAATTCAACAACAGTTTTTCACGGGACAACCCTACGGCCTCTTTCTCAAGTCTTTGCTAGCGATGCACGCATTGGCGTAGTTATGGACCGTGCTATTTCTTTTTAGGCACGCAGCCGACATGCGTGCAGGTGGACCATAGGGTTTGGCAAGCGTGTCCTTCGTCATCGTCATATCAGGATGTAAGCGGTGTGTGTCCTAGTCAGAGCTTGCGAACTCTATTCGACCAAATAGTCCAGCTGTCAGTAAGCCGTAGCGTAGCGTAAGCATATTATTATCTCACGCAAGGTGGCACATGATAATGTATTTCGCAATTTCTATGTAATGAAATGCGGCAGCAGCGTGGCGATCATGGCTGTGCAAGCCACGGCATCCGCTGGTGGGCGGTTTAAAGCACGGTTGCTGAAGATCCTCACAGCATTGGCCTCCCTCAGCACCCAAAAGGGCAGTTCGGCCGAGATGCAACCCTCCGAGCATACAGCTCTTGCCCACAAATAGCTTAAGGGTTCAAAGCTGCATTCTGTTAGTACAGAAGTTCCCAGTGCCCGTATGGCGATCGCGTTTCAGTCCTTCGACAATAGCCAATCACCGTAAGATGAATAGTCATCTTCTCTCCATACCATTTTCCCCAGAGTCTTTGGGGTATAAAAGACCCATCTACCAGGGACGGCCCGAAGTTCGTCTTCTTTCCTGAGCATCTAGCCGCCTTAAAATTGACGGTGTTCCTTGCTATCATTCTCGTGTATACCTCCCCAGCCCAACGCAAACTATGGCTCCCTCAAAGAGTGAAGACACTCAAGTGCCCCAAAAGAGTGCCGACGCTCCTCAGTCATCCAAGAACGAATCAGTCTTGACAGAAAAGGATCATGCCGAGATTGCCTTCACGGACAAATACAGCTCGCCCGACGTCTACATCAACGGCGAAACCGATACCCTGTGGTTTCCATGGATAGGCCCAATCGAGCTAAAGCCACTACGCATGGAAACCAGAACTGGAACGTTCGTGGTTGTTCTGCGCTCCCCCGTCGATGCTTGGCTAGGCAAGCACCGACACCGTGGAAGTGTAACTGCACTCACCGTCTCGGGAAATTGGAGATATAAAGAGTATGTTACATCCACCATGACTTACTATTTCATTATGCTAAGATGCCCAGGTATGATTGGGTTGCCAAACCAGGAGACTACGTGGTCGAAAACCCTGGCACAATCCACACCCTCTTCGTCAGCGGTGGTACTGAGATTGTGTTTACGATTACTGGCAGTCTTGAGTTCTTCAACGATGATGACAGTCTAAAAGATACGCTGGATATTTTTGCCTTTTCAAAGATGTACTACGATCATTGCAAGGAGAAGGGATTGAAGCCCAATGATGGCTTGTGGTATTGAGCACACACTTGTGAAAGGGACTCACGGACTAAATTCGCACATGACGAGGCACGCCGGACACAACAACCCATATAATGTATCGGCCTGCTCAGAGGTAGTCTTGATTTAAGATTTTCAGATTGAATCCGTACTCTCACTATCCATGAGTGTTTCCTCGTAAGACCTCCCAGCCATAAACCTGTAGGCTGTTGGTTGCGATTGACTTGATGGGACCAAAAACTAACTCCGTAGCCCTATCAATACACTTGTGTCGAAGGGATTCTTAAAATTGGGCTTTCGTTCCTCTATCTTCCTTTCACTCTGCCACCGAAATAAACGGTCTTCTCTATCAGCCAATCTACCCTCCAAAGCTGACACATTGGGCGCCCTTGCTCAAGTTCATGCCTCAGGCAGCATTCAACTCCAACGTTGCAATGTCATGGTCAATGAAAAAGCCGCTTCTTTGGTTGATAACGCCATTTTTCTCACATAATATTGTTCAACGTCAACCTGAAAGAAACCACCGCTCTTCAACCGAAGCCATGTGGCTCATCAATACAAGTACTCTCTCACTCGAGCTATTCGCTCGATCCGAAGGCGTCCCATATGCCATCCTCTCACACACCTGGGGTGGAGACGATGAGGAAGTGACCTTCCAAGACATGGACGATATCGAACACCGCGAAATCAAAGCCGGCTGGGCAAAGATAAAAAAGACGTGCCAACTCGCAAATAATATGGGCCTGGACTATGCCTGGGTCGATACGTGCTGCATCGATAAAACCAGCAGTGCCGAGTTGAGTGAGGCCATAAACTCAATGTTTTCATGGTATCGAGATTCCAAGATATGTTTCGTCTACTTGTGTACCCGGAAACACGAGCCGCAGCTACATACCAGTGGCAACCTCTTGGATGACGAATTGGCTAGTTACAAGTGGTTTCAGAGGGGCTGGACACTTCAGGAGCTGATTGCGCCATCCCATATGAGCTTTTTCAACGAGGACTGGGAAATCTTGGGGACCAAAGAATCACTCAGGGACCACCTGGCAAGAATCACTGGAATCGACACTGTGGTTCTCAAGAGTGTTGAAACACTGCAGAATATTAACATTGGCAAGAGGTTCTCATGGGCAGCCAAACGGGAAACCAAAAGAGTCGAAGATATTGCCTACTGTCTCTTGGGTATCTTTGGCATCAACATGCCTCTTCTTTATGGAGAGGGTTCCAGGGCTTTCATCAGGCTACAAGAGGAGATTGCCCGCTCAACAAACGACCTCACCTTGTTTGCCTGGCAGCAATCCAAGAAGTCAGGCCAGTCAAATTGGCAGCTCAGCGGTATCTTTGCCACTTCACCCAAAGAGTTCCGTCATTGCGACAAGCTACTTGTTCCCCGGGGAAAGCTTGAAGCAGAAACTGAGTTCACCCTGACAAACAGAGGGCTACGGTTCGATAGGAACTTTGACGTGAGCTATCCGGGATTCGACTCTAATGAAAATCATCTACCAGAGGGTGATTTATTCATGAGACTGGATTGTCTCGAAAGAAGCGACCGCACCCGCCATGAGGCCAGATGGGTCGGCATTGCACTGCGCAAAATTGGAACAACCTACCTGAGATTGTTCCCCGACGTTCTTCAATACTGCTCTTCCATGGTTACACACAAAGTTTCCCAGGTCAAGCAAGTTGTCTATATCGCAGCATCCCTATCCGATTCAGACGCCGAAATAATCACCAAGAACATCATGGTCGGCATATACTACAATAGCATTCCGAGATCTCCCATCATGAATACTGGGTACATGTCGGACCCTTCATTCAGAGATGAACCACTCGGCGTGGACGGCTTTGGATCTGGGGGTCTGCGCAGTTGCATGCATCTACGATTCTTTGCCTTCAATGTGGGGAGGCCGTCTAAGGTCTTTCGCATGGCCCTAATCTGTGGTTTGCAAGTTCATACAAGGAGCGAGGGCGTTCAAGATAGCCCTTGGGCTTTGTTGTGCTCGGAGAAACAGCTGCTCGAATCTGTGCCTCGAGCAGCTTCTTACAAGGACCTCTTTGCTCCAGAGCCAACCCACGGAGGGGTCAGTGCCCAAGAAAGAACTGAATTCTTTCGGGATTATGTCTTTGAGAGGTACCTGGACGACTCTGGGCATATCAGCCAGACGACGATGCCCGATTTGCTTATGGTCGAAGACCCAAGTACGTCCTACGTGAAGCATGAGGTTTCGGTCTCCGTCAACCCCCCTTCGGAGGCCAGGTTTCCGATGTCTTCTCGATACGATTATGTGATTTTCTTGTCTTATCGCAGGGTCTATAAGAGCTCTGGGACAGATTCTCTACGTATAGGAGGGCGGGCAGGATAATAAAGACTAGTTCCTATAAATCACTCTGTAATCATGTTCTTGACTATGTTTGTATCCTTGATTCAAGATCTATAAACCCGTCAAAACCTCAAATTCTTTCTAATCTAAGCCTGGGCAGCCTTTGCACCCTCTGGATCATGTGCCACCACCTCAATCTCCACCCTCATATCATCTTCACCAAGTCTCGTAACCCCCACGCAGGTCCAAATTGGCTGATGATCCGGCATCCACTTCTTAAAGTTCCTAGCCATTGCAGCGAGGGCTTCGTTGTTGATGGGAACATGATACGAGTTGACTCGAAAAACCTGGCTCCAGCCCTTGCCGCCAGCGTGCTTAAGGTTGTAGTCGACATTCTTAAAGGCTTGGTCGGTTTGCTTGTTGATTTCGGTGGGGATCTCGGTCACTTTGCCCTCAGGATGCCATCCTCCTGTTACAGATCAGATTCAGTCAATATAGCATCTGGAGCCATGTTGAACTCACCTTGTCCAGAACATTGGATGGTGTCTCCCACTCTGACAGCTTGGCTGAACGAGTACTGTTCTCTGTTGCTAACGCCAACGTCGGGATAGCTGTAGTACTGAAGGTGCGCCATTTTCAATAGTGTAAAGATTGAATGAGGAATGTTTGTTGCGGTCGTAGTAGACGGTTGGGTAGGATTATTATACACGATGCGATGAGAGGTGCGGAATCTAGATTCCGTGACCCCGCCAAGCTTATCATTGATCATGACGCATCATAGCATGGCCATATTCCTAGCCTTAAACTCTATTTATATAACATGACTTCGCCAAGATATGCTAGAAAATGTCGTCTTCTATTGCGCGACCATGGCCAAAGCCCCTTTGTCTTCAATAAGTCGCCAGGCTTGGCCTCAGCTGTCTGTTAAATCTCCTAAAAATGACTGGCTGGGCCAATTCCAGGCGAAGTTCTCCCATATTGCATCACTATCTGGCTGGATTCCAAAACCAGGTTCTGAAACTGGTTGCATATCTGGATTCTCTTCCAGTGCCCATAAAGGCCAATCCATATTCTCAGTCGCTTGGCCACCTCCAGCCTGCTTTTCTAACAGTGCACCATTTGATCCCGTCTCTTGTGAATATTGATAAGGGTCACCTTGGCTTATCATAGACTCGGTTACTGGCACCTTGCTCTGTTCACTCCCCATGCGATCTCGTATAATCTTCAGCAACCCGCAATGATAATTAGCAGGAGGCTTCCATGCAGTTGATAGCTCCTCCAGCGTTTGAAGGCAGGACTTGATTCTGTCGTCATCTGCTTCGCCGGGCCCATGGCCTTGTCGGCTATGGCAGGGTGGATCGAGTAACGCCAGTGCTGCTGAAAGGTTTACGTATGTCGCTACCAGTGGACTTTTTCGAAAGCTTCCAAACACTTGACGATATTGATCTCCTAGGGAAGATACGCTCCTCGCAGCTTCGAGGTATATGGTAACGGCTTTTTGTGTTAGCGGGTCAACTTGTTGCCACGGTTGCTGACGCGAGCTGGAAGGCCGGTGACGCTGGATATACGGCCTTGAAAGAAGGATAACAACGGTATGGTATACCATGCAGAGGGTGTAGGCTTGTGGGAACTTGTTAAGAACTCCGCCTTTGATGGGCTTGAGCTCTGTGCATAAACCATATAGCCAGCTCTTCAGCTCCAGAAGAGTCGAGTCGAAAAAGTTTCGGCGTTGGTCACCGACTGGCAACTTCTTTGGGGCATATCTAGGACTTGGTAAGTCGCGGTTCAGTGTTCTTATAAAAAATGGCACCTTACAGACTAGAGAGGACTCTTTCCATGATTTGGCTCAGTTTGATCCAAGAGGTATGTAGGCTGACCGACATGTTCGGGTTGACTGAGTAAAGGGTGTGACGAGGGTCGCCCTGTTGGGCATGTTTTGGTATCTCTGGTAGTTTGACAGCCCCTTGAAAATCCTTCCGTCCGCCGCTATTGTCAGAGCGTGGGCTCGTAGGCTTTGATTGAGGGGAACTCACAAGCATAGCGCAAACCCTTCCCGTATAGCCGGCAGAGGTCTTATCCACGCAATACAACGCCCAGTACAACTGCCTCCGAAGCTCTGCTTCTTCCACGGTCATACGTACTGAGCTAACCAGAGTGTCTGGGTCGAGATGAAGACCCATATCCACGACCAGTCTATTCGCCATGCCCGAGTACAGCCATCCGGCAGCGTCTTGTCCGGAACCCTCCAGATGTTAGAATGAACGTTGGATAACAGAGTGTAGGTGCTCACAAAGTAAACGATACTTAAAATAGCCAGGGATTGAATCGTCGTGATACTTGGTCGCTTGAGTTCGTCATGAAGGAGGGCCTCGATCGTATTAAGAAATGGGCGACCGGCCGTGTTTGCATCTTCGGGATCCGAACGTGCTTCGACACAATCCGAGTATCGAGATCCACAAGCAAGTATGCAGTGCAGCAACAGCGGGCTGTAATACCGGCCCTTGCTGCTCTTGCTATCACGAAATAGTGCCTCGTCAACGACCTGAAACCAGGGATTGTCCCAGATAAAGTAAAGGTCTAGGAGTTGAGCCTCAACTTCTTGGTCAACAATTACTTGGTCACCAAATGTCGGTTCATACAAGTCTGTGAGTGGTGAAGAGTGCTCCCGGGGTGAAAGATCTTGTGCATCTGAGGTATTCTTAGCTCTAAACAAGGGACAGGTGGAACGGGGATGAACAAAGAACACACCATCAGAAGCCCGAAATTCAAGGCGACCACTTGTAGTACCAAAATATCGCGCTTCTCCATCTCGGTCAAAATTCATTGATTCATCAAGAGCCAATGCCCCCTCAACAGCGTCACACAATTGATCAATTGCAGTCGCCGAGACATCGGTTGTGGAGCTTTGTGGAATAACGTTCCCCAGCATCAACTGGGTCGCGGAAGCATCGATATCAATAGAGTGCATGCGTAGAATCTCTTCAAGGATTTGAATCCTAGCCTGCAGCTGTCGAACGTATGCCTTGGGGGCCATTCCACGGCCGTCATCTTCCGTGGTGTAGACACAATCCAGTTGGCGGCCAGAACACCGTGAGCATCCTGGCTTCTGGCCATCACACTGGCCATCAGTCAGCACAACATGCTATAGCATGGCATAAACGCACAGATCCACCTTTGCACGGCGACGGCGGCACTCTTGGCAAGCCTTTGCTGCGTATCGGCCCCGGGCTCCGGATTTGCCGGGAACGGCGGTCTTCTGCCGGGGATTGGAGGACAGGGGGGCTGATCCGCGGCCAGCAGGTGCCACATCAGCCATCTTGATACCGTGAGTAACTGACAAATGACGATGAGGATCAGGTAAGAGGAAGGGGCCGAGTCGAATCTCGTCGAGGACGAGGATGCTCCGGTGCGGGGACCCACTTTGGCGGAATTTACATTCCGGGCCCCCCCCCCGCGGAGCTGGACAGTACGTGTCTCCAGCACGGTACGTCTCACAAGGGCCAGCTATGTATGGTTAGAGAGTTCATGAGTATCATGGTCCAGGTTAACTAATCAATGCCTTTTCCAAGCCGTGTTTTTGCCATTTGCTATCAAAAAGTGCAGGTAGCATTCGCCAAACGGAGCTGACCCAATCTTCGGTCCGTTCTGCATCCAGGCACTGAGCATCCAACCCTCCGGCAAAAAATGAACCTCACTGAACTGATTCAACGGTCACAGAGTCAAAAATTGATGATGAGAGTGGGATTCGAACCCACGCCTCTTGCGAGACTGCGAATCGTTGCTAGTTCTTGTGGAACCTGAACACAGCGCCTTAGACCGCTCGGCCATCTCACCTTACTGGTTGTTGGATTCCGACGAAGAATTTGGCTGCTATGTCGACCAGGATTTGAGTGGAGAGGAGACGGAACCCTAATGAGATTGTGTGGGTGCTTGCCATTGTCAATTGGGTGGTTGGGGGCAGAGATTTCACGGTTGAGGTTGGGTCCCGTTGTGAGGTTCCATAGACTTTCCCTTTTGGGTAACGCTTCGAAATAGAGTGACCAATGAGGGACGGCCCGAAGAGCGGGAACGTGGAGCTTAACCGAGACCCATGTTTAGACGAGACTTCGTCCAGCATGTGCAACGGTTTTGAAAGAGTACTTGGGTTATCAGATGCTGAAAGAACGATGAGAAAGCGGACGACAGGGGATAAGTTTTTCTCTAGGCATGATATTCACTTGAAAATTCGTAAGCGGAAAAGGAACAAGACCCATAGCCTCTAGCATAATGCTGCCGAAGATTTATTTGTCCACATTCAATGCCAACCCACCCTAGAGCAACTCAAGCAATTCTGAGTCGGACTCCATCGAGAGACTACTACACACCTGGGTTTATTTCGTTCTTCAAACATAAACCATATCTCCCGTAGTTCCTCGTCTGATGCTCTTCTTACTGGTGACAGTGCATCAACGCTGTGATTTCCGCACCGACTCGCCATTCCACTCTCGGATCCTCTCCACGTCTACGAGACCATCCAAGTCCACAACCAAACAACGCTGCCCTCCCTATGCAGCTCCCACCCTTATTCCCATTGTGCCTCTCCTTCTCTCATCCAATCACAAGGCAAGATGGCCGAGCGGTCTAAGGCGCTGTGTTCAGGTTCCACAAGAACTAGCAACGATTCGCAGTCTCGCAAGAGGCGTGGGTTCGAATCCCACTCTTGTCAGCTCTATTTTTGCGGTTTCCGCCTACCTTTTGCTATCCTAGTCGCCATCACTCGTGTCAAGTTACCTGGGGCCCCTGGTGTCATGACCTTTGTTGGTACGTGCTGGAGGGTGCGCTGTTTGTAGTGCTGTCTTCGTGGCTCTGCAAATTATCATTCGCTGGGCAAGTAAGCTGAATCCTTGATTGTTCACTTTATTCATAACAGAAATCAACTTGGCTGTGTGCAATGTTAATGGCAAGGATAACGAACAGTCACGCCACTTTGTTCTAGTAGCTTTGCCTTTTTTTCAAGTCACTAATGATTGAAGGCTCAACAGTCACATCCATTAAACACAAAACTCCCCCATCTACGCTGAATCCAGACTTGGCTGAAGCGGCCACGTGTCATGAGTGCGAAAGTAAGTTTCTTGCATTTGACCGTTGAGCTGCAGCCAAAGAAGGCTATTCTAGGCTATTGGGGTTTTCGGCGTTGGGCTTTCATGTTGACAGATGTGAAAAACCACACTCTTTGTGATTGTGACTGATGGCCTCTTTTGGAAGGGCCGCCAATTTCACAGCAGTTAGAAAGGGCACTAAATAGAACAAAGAGAGAATGAAGGCTTCTTCAAGGACTCATAGGGTCCCATAATAAGGCCTTGAGTTGACACTCTTGTTGGTAAGCAGGGAATGGTCTCAGTCACATAACCCTATCTCTCGTGGAGAGTTCTTGAGCAAGTAAGGTTCTTAGTACCTAAGGAATGTGTGAATGTACGACCGAGGCGTAAAGAAGAATGAAAAGTTTTGAACCCTAAAATTATTCAATATATAAGCTACTAAACCCTTCTGAAACTCCCTTTCTTAATCCTACAATATCAACGACAGAACGATTGCCAGCTTGACTTGAGCCCAACTCAACACACACACACACACACCACCACCTCACATCACTCAATCAACAACAACCCATACAGAGCGGAGACAAGATGACATACGCCCAAATGTGCGGTATGGCTGAGAACAGACTACTGTGGCCTATTGAGAAGCACTGGCTGAATGTCCGGTTCCTCAACGGGAACCGGCACACCAGGGACTTTGTGCGGTCGATTGTGGAAGAGCATATTAACTCCCTACCTCTGGGCATTAAATTCTACTTCTACCAGAAGTACGAGGCCGGTGAAGCAGACATCCGGATCAAATTCACAAACAAGTCCGACTGTTATGCAGGAACATCTGCCAAGTCAGTTCGCCGGAGCAGCAAACCGACTATGAGGCTGGACCTTGAGACTCCAACGCGCCTCAACGACGAAGATCGACGACTCTGCTTTCAGCACACCGTCCTGCACGAGTTCGGACATGCCCTTGGCCTTTCCCACGAGCATCAGCATCCGAGTTGCGGGAAGAAGTGGGACATGACTCTTCTTCAATACAGAAGTGGGTGGTCTGAGCAAAGGGTCCACAATGCCTATGACCCTCACTCACCCGAAGGCAAGACTCTGGAGCCCTATGATCCAAAGTCTATCATGCACTACTTCATTCGAGAGGGCGATGAGCTCGGCAGCAAGGCAACGGCCCCCCGCAACAACGTCCTGTCAGAAGGAGACAAAAGAATCCTCGCCCTGCTCTACCCGCCACGAGAGAAGGGCATGCTTAAGGCACCAGGAGACAACTCAGAGAAGGACTCTCCTCAGAAGCAAAAGTGGTGGAAGGGCCTGGTTGAGAGAGTATCAAAATGGAGATAATAATAGCATTGCTAAATATAATATTTCTCTCGCCTTAATAATATACCTTGACTCTTTTTTTATCTTAGTTTATTATTACTACTAATCGAAATTTATTATACTTATACTCTAACTAAGGCCCACGTACGATTATCTCTCTTTATTTTTAGCACGTTTTACCTATGAGCACGTGAGTCTCCCGCTCCCCTAGACCTATTTAAGCTGTTACCCCTTCTTACTATTTCCTCCACTTCCTCTCTCCTCTTACGCTGGCTCAACTAGATCTATTGCTGCTTCAAAACAAGCCGCTAGTAGATATTTCCGAGCTTCTTCAAACTATGAAACTCTTTTATATCGGTGTAAGACAAATCACACTTACAAGCCATCACCATTTACATCGGCCCCTAACCACCGTTCCTCTAGATCGTCCGCAATCAGGACAAACCAGCCGTTGAACTGGTCAGCGAAAAGGAGCTATCGGCGTACTCACGTTTCACGAAAAACAGGCAAGCCTCCCGACATTCAGACGGATCTTTCACTGACCCGCTGGCGTCTCGTCTCCAATAGCTATGGCGAACTCATGACTCTCTTTTCCAAGACGGTGGCAGAGCGGACCCAACCGGGACAACGGCTGGATGTGGAGGAGCATGATCTCGTCTCGCATGCCTTTGGCAGAAGCGAGGGCATCTGCGGCATGTGAGTGTCTCCTAGTTCTCATACCAAATGAGATCACTTGTCGCTACTGGACCTTGATTCCACTTGTCTAGTTTTGTAATCCTGACTGACAGCCTTCCGCGCGTGACAAGCATAATCTCCGACCACCAATATCCCAGCTTGGTCGCACACCAGCTGCTTTCCAGAGTGTACGTTGGAAACCATGTCCAACCTTGACACGGTACCAACCTTTTAAACTAACTCGTACATCCAGAGTGGACGAATTCCTCACCAAGCATCCCCAGTCTACCTGGGCTACTGGCGAGCCTACCTTGGCATTTCCAGAATTGAAGGATTACCTGTCCAAGTATCAGAATCCGCAGCAAGCCGACAGCATCTTGAAGATCCAAAAGGAGTTGGATGAGACCAAGATCGTCCTTCACAAGACTATTGAAAGCGTGCTGCAACGCGGGGAGAAGATTGACGATCTTGTCGCCAAAAGTGACGGCTTGAGTGCCCAGAGCAAGATGTTCTACCGTGAGTCTCGTCTCCTCTTTCCCTTTCTGATCCCCTGCGCAACAGAGAACTCAGTTCTGGATGCTAATCGACTGGGAGACAGAACAAGCAAAGAAACAAAACTCGTGCTGTGTGCTCATGTAGTAGCACCAGTATGTAATCGGATTTGTGGCTACAATACAGTAAATTGTCTCAATGAAACACTCAACAAGAATTAGCTAGATTAAATTTGAAGACACCTTGATTTACCTATACAACGTCCCTCAGCGTTCCCATTCGCCCATGTTTTAGGCATCACCAACGTGCACAACAATCTTGCCCACTGTTCGTCCGAGCCTGAGCTTTTCGTACGCTTTCGGAGCCTCTTTCCACTCGAACTTCTGATCGATGACCGCGCGGACCTTGGCTTCAGCCATCCATTGGCCGATTTGCTGCAAATCCTTTCGGTTGATGTTCACCCTCACAAGACGGTACTGTCTCTTGCCGCCGCCCAAGAACGATGGCAATAGGCTCCTGCGAAGCATTCCAGACAGGGAGCTCTGCATGGCAACCTGGAGAAATGTACCGTCGGGCTTCAAAAAGTGTTGACTTTGCTCGTATATGCCAGGTGGTGTGCCCACGTTATCGATAGCGAGGTCGAAAATCTGACCCTTCTTCTTCAACTCAACCATGACATCGAGTTTACGATAGTCAATGACCTCGTCGGCCCCGAGACTGCGGCAGAGCTCTACATTTGCTGTGGAGCAGGTCGTCGTGACAGTGGCACCGAGAGCCTTGGCGAACTGGACTGTGAAGGAGCCCACTCCTCCACTGCCGCCGTTGATAAAGATTTTGGTCCCAGGCTTGATCAGATCCTGTGGTAGAGACTGATATGCCGTCATGCCAGCCGTGCCCACCGCTGCCGCATCATCAGGTGAGACACCGGGAGGGAGAGCCGTGAGCTGAGAAACGGGGGCGATGATGATTTGGCCGAGAGTACCAAACTTGGGGAATTTCGATGTAATGCTCAAGGCGCCAAACACAAGTTGGCCTTCCTTGAGGGAGTCATCCGTGTCATTTATGGCCTTGATACGACCGCAGAAGTCGAGGCCCGGGCTGGCAGGTGGTTGCACCATGAACTTTCCGTACAGAGGAGCCTCTGGCAGCTTGTATTCGACAGGATTGACGCCGGCGGTAATGACTTCGACCAGAACATGGCCCTTGGGTAGTGATTGTGCATCTGGCGGGGTGGCTTTCTCATTGAGAGTGAGAGAGCTCTCAAGAGGACCTTTGATGGTGGTGTACTGCCAAGCTTGCATGTTTGCCGAAACAAGGTTAGGCTATGAAAAGAAAAGATGGACTGACGAAGCTGCATGGCACAAATTCAAAGGGAGAAACAGACTTTATTGAACCTACCGAACGCAGCCACGTTGATAGCAACTCCTCGGATTGAAGAAGGCTGCGTCGGATTACAGGGATAGATGCCAAGTCCGACGCTAAAGTTCGGGTTCGGATTCATGCTGGTATGTGATTGGTCGGCTTCAATACACACAGTCTCATTAATCGTCGTCATCCTTCTTCAAGCACGATTCTACGTGCCGAGATTACGTTTCCTGCGTCCTTTCATCTCTCGGCCAAGTATTGAATCGACAATCCCAGGGCTGAACGGAAGCTGCGCCATGTTTGACGCAGTCCATCGGCCATCTGACTGACTCGTGCCAACAAGGCTCAAGAGCCTCTACGATGGCGGTGAGCAGGCGACTCCCCCAATTTTCCAGAAACCAAAACTTGGAGCCCACAGCATCGAGTACCGTGCAGTAATGCGCGACCACCACTAAAGCAGCTGGGTGGCGGGCGCGGATCAGATCCAGGAACCCGTCCTTGAGGGTCATGGGCCAGATGATGGCGACATTCAGCTCAGGAGTCGCGGCCGAAGACCTCCCGACACTCTCTCCCAACGCAAAAATTGCTTCCTCTGCCATAGCTTTGACCACAGGATCCGTGTCGTTTGTGTCAAAGTCTTCTTTGATGCGAGGAAGCCTTTGTAGAAGTGATGTGAGTAGACCTGTCCCTCCCGTATGTGAATTGCATTCCATAAAGTCCCCCAATATTCCATCCCGAATGGCCCCATTGAAGGAATTCAGGATGCTTCTGACACCTCGAACATGAGTAAAAACACTCAGCATGTCGTCCACTTCTTGTCGTAGGCTTCTACCCCTCGCCGGAGAACACGCAGCGAAAGCGCCAATAAACAGTAGAGACGAGGCGGCGAAGAGAGCATGGCAGTTCTTTGCAGTAACAGCAGAGACCTCTGCTCTGATGCCGGATATTGCATGATGCTGATGCTGAAACGCTCTGGATAAATGTGCTTGGCCTTGAGATGGGTTCAAACCTGCGAGGTGGAACGCCGAGACGGCAAGAATCTGATGCATGAGGAACGGGTAGCCGATCGCCACACTGGGAATCTCAATCTGCCAGACGTGGAGATTGGCGCCAGGGAGGGTAGCAGAGGTGATGGAGGAGTAGTGGCTCATTAGGCCCAGGTCCTGCGTCCAACTAGACGGCTGCTCGGCTTTCGGAGCAATAGAAATGCCATTATCAGGCCCCTTGACTTCTGACGTGAAGGATCTCGGGTTCGGATTGACCTGGTCATTTGGTGAAGCAGAATCTGAGGGAAAGCTGCATGAGAGGTGTCGCTTAGTGCAGGCACCACATGGACGTCTTTCGTCACACTGCTAGGGTGTCAGCCTTTCGGGTTCGGGCACCACAACGAGGGCACCACGCCAGGCATACGGACCTTGACCTTTCTCTGCTTGCAGCGGGAACAGCCATTACGCGACTTCTTGTGCCCAATCCTCGCCATTTGAACGACTGTGCAGTATTTGGTTTGGTTGTCTGGAGAACGAGATGTCAGGCGGAGCTGGGTGTCGATGGTTTGGGTGGTCAGATGGATTTTGAAGGGGTAAAGCCATGGACGTGGGGCGAGGAATCCGAGATAAATCCCACTTGAAACCTAATTTCGTGCCAAGACTTGGCTAGTGTCGGGGACACTAAGATCCCGACGGCCCAATGGCGATAAACTCATGATAAACATTCATCCCTATTTATAGGATGCACATTGTATTGTACATATAAAAGAAGTCAGGCGTTGAGCTTCATGGCCTCATTGTATCCATCACACAGATAGACAGACACAGACTCTTAAAACCAAGCTTGAAATCTTACCGACATCATGAGCTCTAACGAACCAGGAGAGTTTGTCTTTTATCATTACGATCCTTCCCTCCCAGCCGCTGTTATTTTCATCAGTCTTTTCGGCATAACGTCTCTTCTTCACCTCTATCAGCTCATCAGATGTCGGGCCTGGTATTTCATACCCTTCCTTGCTGGCTGCATCTGTAAGTTCCCACACTCGCGCTTTAAATTGCTAATTTGACCGTCTTGTTAGTTGAAATCGTCGGATATATAGGTCGAGCTTTATCTGCGACAGAGACTCCCGACTGGACCACTAGGTCGTTTACGATACAGAGTCTGACCCTTCTTCTGGGTCCCGCCCTCCTCGCCGCCTCCATTTACATGGTCCTAGGTCGCTTGGTTAGACTTCTCGAGGCCGAACGTCTCTCTCCGATCAGAGCGAATTGGTTAACTAAAATCTTCGTCTTGGGCGACGTTTTATCGTTTTTAACCCAAGGTGCCGGTTAGTGTTCCCAAAGATTTGGATTGAGGGGATTTGGTTAACACAGTTCAAGGCGGTGCCATCCTTGCCCAGGCCAAGTCATTGAGTGACCTCAAGCTCGGCGAGAACGTCATTATCGCAGGTCTCTGCATTCAGATCGCATTCTTTGGCGTCTTCATTGTTGTCATTTGCGTCTTCCACTACCGGATTAATGCTTCGCCCACAAATGTCTGTTACTCTACAACGATCCCATGGAGACGGTTTATGTGGGTTCTCTATGGCGCCAGCGTCTTGATTATGATTCGATCTGTTTTTCGAGTCGCTGAGTATGTCATGGGCAGCGATGGACCACTTCTGGCCACCGAAGTCTATCTTTATGTCTTTGACGCGGCATTGATGCTTGTGGTAGCGGCTATGTTTAACGTATATCATCCAGGAAAAATCATTCAGGTGGAAGACAAGTCACTGGCTCTCTCAAACAACGACACCTCGGTTGATCTAACTGTCATGGACTAAGCTGAAACCCAGGAGGCCGGGTGGTGACGACCAGCAGAATGGGGAACATACGCTTTGATAAGGCATGAGGTGGATGGACTGAGAGGACTGCACTCGGCCCACCATGATGGAACAAGCATATAGACACACATTCATTTGCACTTTTATAGACTCAAGCTAGTTCAGCTTTTAATACAACTTGAATACACTGAATGCCACTTAGAATATTGCTGTTGGGCTTGCACCGCTTGGATAAGCTAAAGGGATTTGGCCCCTGATGTTTCTTACCGCAACGACAGACAGCACCATCACCAATCGCCAGCCTCCGAAATCCTTATGTCTCTGAAGGATAGGAATAAATCCGCAAATAAGGCTCCTTCTCGGGAATGTTGGCAAGAAAATCGCAGACTGTGTTAGCTTTCGTCTGTGGGCCGAGATTTCTCGCCCCTGAACTCACAGTGCCTGGCTAAGGCAGACTTCCAACATACGTCTGTCAGGCACCAGAAACAACTACCGACAACTCGCACACGACTTCCGCCAACCAGCTGATAGATGTGGCTCATGCAGGTGTCCTTATTAGTCCTCAATTGGGGGCCGAGAAATCAGGCTCTCTGAGTGACTCGGCCGGTGTGGTGGACGCGACCAGGCTGAGCTACTTGCAGTTGCGTAATTTCCACAATCTCAGCCCCCGGGCTTATCTGCACTTTGTAAAGGGGACTTTGGTTTGTTCGGCCAATCCGTAGGAACTTGAGGCCTTGTACGGCTCTACCGAGCGGCTTGGTCAAGCCCAAACCTGGGTGAACCGGCCGCCGAACCCGTTCGCCAACACCCGTATATGCAGCCACAGCTGTACCGGCTGAAGAACACAATTAATCTGGCTAGAGCCGCGTAAATCGGCCGCACCTCTAGTAAACAGATGCACACCCAGGACAATCCGACATTTGCGCAACTTCATCTGATTCAGGGGTTTATGGCTCTAACCCTCACAGCCTGATTTTTGAACGTCATGGCACGTTGCCAAATATTGGCGCCCCGAGACATGGCGGTGGCAGAAGCCTGCCCAAATGAGCTGAAAGAGGCTGTGCTTCCCCCCAAGGCCACTTCGCCATCCAACGCGAACGACGAGGTGCCTTAATGTGCAGAGAGCCTCAGCCCAGCCACTTCATGAGACATTTGCCTCTGATGCAAGTAAGACAGACCGGCTTCTACTCCGTAGGGCCTGCTCTTTAACTCAGCCACAGCTCGAATGTTGGCATATTTACAGTAGGTATAAGGAGTGTTACTTACCTTTCATCCCCCTGCTTTGACCTGGTTTCCTTACCACTCTTCACAACTGCCGCCTTCTATGCCAATCCATCCAACATGAGTCAATACTCAACACAGTATCAGTCATACATCCCGTGGGACTACACCCTGATATCAACCTCCGGGTCATGCCCCTCCAAGTCTCGAGTCCTCGCCACATATGCTGTCACCGCCGCCATCATCAGCACCTTGTGCCTTCTCGTCGGCCACCGCGACATCGCCAGATGGTTGACCTTTGGAAAGCTTGATAGTGAGAAAGCCTGGGCCTGGCGATTGACATGGGTCTTTCCGTTTGGATTCTCGCTCGCCGCTGCAGCCATCAACGTCGTCATCATTGCACAGCACGAAGGCCGTTCCAGCGACTATCCAAGGCATTCGCTCTTTCTGCTACAGTTGACCCTTCCGAGGATGTCATTCTTTTGTCTTCTCATTGCCTTTTGGGTACAGCTGCTTGCCAAGTCTCCCCAGGTACGTTTTTTATTCTTCAAGGCAACGGAGGACAGCCCGCAACAGTTACCTAGATGTCATCTACCGATACCTTGTTGCCGATACTCTATTTCCCTTCGGATAATATACTAACAACTCGTTTTACCGCACAGGCCAACGCAGCCGACAAAGGCTTGGTCGCTGAACTCCAACACGGCTCAGCAGCCGCAAGCGCCTTGATCGCCGAGCTTCTTATCCAGATCCCGCTCCTGTACTACCTTGGCAAGATAGGTTACTTTGCCTTCAACCAAAAGTACCTACCCACAGACTCAAACTACGGTCAAGTTCCCAAGGCGGCAAAGATGATGCACGGTGCTGCTCTTTATCACCTCGGCAGCAGCTGCGCTGCCCTACTCCTTTTGATTGTGTTTTGCACGGGCCTTTTTCCTTCAAGCGAGTTGACCAAGCACCTCCGGATGAAATACGTCATTTGTGTCTGTGTTGTCTTGGGAATGTTCACTTTCTGTGCGGATTGGATCTTCTGGGCTGGCTTTCTGGAACTCGCCGGAGATACGTAAGTTGCCATTCCTGCATCCTACTCAAGCTTAACTAACAATAATAGATACTGTGTACCTGAGCTTGAGTTGCAAGCCGGAATCCGAATTGTTCTGTCGGCACTTGGTGCTTTCTTTGGGGGAGCTATCTGAGAAGGGAACGGGACAGGAAAAGGGACCTGTGTAAAACGTTTTGTCGATGTATGACGGATAATGAAGTGTTTCAACTCCTATACATAGATTCCTCTTCGCTCTCTATTTATTTTGATTTACTGACAAGCCCATAGATGGTTATATAAGTTTGTCCTCTGACCTCGGAAACAGCCATGTCGTTCAGTGACTATCAGCTTCGAGATGCGTCTCCATTGGCTCGAAATAAATCCTAGGGACGCTTTCTATAGATGATTCAAGTGGGTTTCGTTCATAATCGTGCATGACATAAGAGTACGAAGTAAGAGAAGCTACTTAGCTAACTGATTCATCCCTCATCATAGCCATATTCATCAAATATCTTGCAAAACGAACTACTTCTCACCAATCAATGCTAGAGCCAACTGTTCAAAGTCTCCGTCCAAACCAGCCTTGATATCCGACCTCAAAGAAACCCTGAAGTATGTCTCATACCCTGTTCGTGCCAGTTGAATCCCGTTGGGACGCCAGTACAGCGCGAGAAGTCTGTTGATAAAGTGCTTCTCCTTGCGGGAACTCTTCAAGGGCCTGTTCAGCTTGGATGCCACAAAGAGTGCCGGGTCTGTCGCGTGGTCGAGCATCAGAAGTAGAGCATCCTCCAAGTCGCCGCGGAATTCCTTCTCAATCACGTCCTTAAGTCTTCGGCGGTACTTGTGTTGGTACGCATCGCTGATGGCTCGAAGCTGTAAGTCGCTGCTGCTGGTAAAGATCTGAGCCACGACGATGGCGTTTGCGCCGATCTGTCCTTCAGTTGCATTCTGAAGCTCCGTCACCTTCTGGTCGATTTCCACAGGGTCGATTGCCGTGATGCCCTCCAAGCGGGTGCCAGCGAGGACCATGCTGTAGAGCCTGAAAAGAGTGTCGTCGACGTCGTCCTTGATATCGGACAGTAGCTCCTTGCCCCTGGTACGCTTGTATTCGGCAGCGATAGCACGAATGTCTGCATTCGAGCGGCACAGGAGAACGTCATTTAGAGCCTCCTCGTCGGTACCCAGGCGATTCAAGGCTTTTGATAGGACATAGACGTCATTTGCCAGGGGTCCACGGATCAGTGCAAGAAGGCCTGTCTCCAAGCTACCCTTCGTTTCGCTCTCAATATCCTTGGCCAAGTCGCGCAGGAAGCGGCTGTTGTAAGCCTCGACAAACTGCGCCATGGCCCAGGGGTTGCGGTATTTGCTGTTGGTGAGAACGCGAATCAAGGTGCGCTCATCGCAACCCATACCCTTCATGGCTTTCCGAACGGCTTCAACGTCGGCCGCTTTGTCTACAGCCATTGTTTCAAGCTTCTGCTGAGGATCATATCCCAGCGATGCTTTTTCGGGGATGCTGACGGGCTTGGGTTGTGGAGGCTGCGCTGGCCCTTGGGGATACTGTGATGGTGGCTGCTGCCATTGCTGCCCCTGCTGTCCTGGATAGGGCTGCTGGCCAGTATATGGTGCCTGACCTTGAGGTGCACCATACTGTGGTTGAGGGGGGTAGTTCGAAGGAGGCTGCCACTGTCCGTATGGAGCCGGGGAAGGCTGTTGGCCATAGGGGGCCTGTGCTCCTTGAGGCTGCTGACCGTAGTAGCCCTGTTGTTGCTGACCCTGGGGGGGCTGCTGATATTGGCCTGGCTGGCCTTGAGGAGGTTGTTGATATTGACCTGGTTGGCCCTGTGGAGGCTGTTGATATTGACCTGGCTGACCCTGTTGAGGATATTGTTGCTGAGATGGATCCGAGTAGTAAGACTGGTTTGGCGGTTGGCCCTGCTGAGGATATGACTGCTGCGGGGTCGCGTAAGGATAGGGCTGATTCGGCTGCTGTCCCTGGGGCGCATAACCGTAGGGCTGCTGAGCAGGATAGCCCTGTTGCTGCTGGCCCTGCTGCTGCTGGCCCTGAGGCGCCTGCCAATACGGGGGTTGTCCAGACATAGTTCTTGATACGAGTGTCGATAGTGATCAATGTGAATGGCGGAACCAGATGTGCAATGATGGTCGAACGCAGCGGTATTAAGTCGAACGATCAGGTGTCAACTGCGGAGGAGGCCTCACCTGGTGGGTTACCTCGCAGGGACTAGCCTGAGTGGTGAGCCTTGCATGCACCTAACGTCACAGTAAGGCGTTTTGTCGATGAGGCACATTTAGCCTGCGTCAATTAAGGTTAGCTCAAAGCTTGTTTAGCTTGTGTGGCACCTTGTCATGCTTGTGTCGCAGCACTGCCCCTCAACCAGCCCAGGCAGAACCGAGGCGCAGAAGCAGAGAAGCAGATCAGGACCCGAGTTTGTCTTCATGTCAATTATTCTAGATGCCTTATTCGGCTTGATCTGCCTGGATTGATGCACATCACGAAAATCCACCGCTGGTCAGAAGAGTTCGGGATGGCTCAGTGATGCAGCCCTAACCAGCCATGCCATTAGCTCGGCTCAGCCCGGGCTGACACTGGGAGAGCCCATGAGCCAATGTCGCACCTAATCTTGACCGACTCCAAGAGGAAATTCGTCTTCTCGGTGACAGGAAATCCCCACTCGGCCGTGTCTTTCGGTGCCTCGGCTTCCGAGCAACGGACTTGGTGGGCTTGTCTTGCCGGAGCGCTCCCGGCGTTTATCAACGTGTAGTATCAGTCCAGCGCGGTTAGTGGTAGTTGCAGTGGATGCTTAACACCCTAATTCAGCTCTTGATTTGCCATTATTCTTGCTGAAAGAGAGATAGTCAATAGTTAAGGCACTTGATGTAGACGCTCTATCTTTTTTGTTTGCCAATAATTCTTTAATGTCTCAACATAGTTTTTTAACACTACAGGATTGCTATTGCATAAAGCATATGATGCCGATGGGAATCTCCTAAATATGAGTAGCTATCCTCAGTTCCGTGCCAAAAAGGGAACCAAGTAGAACAGCGGGCGATTCTCCTCGGAAGTCTTTAAGTCTCTCACACCTTTCGCATTACGCCAGCTATCGTTTGCAAGAGCACCATTCCTTCACATTGATGCTACAGTTCCGTCGGCAGCCAAACATGCCTCTCGTAGCTACAGCTGACGCGAGGATAAAGGCCAATGACAGCAGAACATCGGATTTGCTCCCCTCAAATCTGACCTTGGCATCGGCTTTATTGAGCAATCTTGGATAAAGCCGACAAGACTCTGATCTGACGCGTCAGCGTGAGAGGCTCACAGGCTTTCGAATTGATGACATTCGCGCATCAGCAACTTCAACTTGACGCAAGGGAAAGTCCAATGACGATCATATTCTCTTGGCATGCAGTTGCAGATGATGTGTCTTAGTTGCCAGCCACGACAATTACGAGGCATTTTCTGAATTCATATGCAAGGAAAGGTTGTACTGATTTATTAACTTGAGTATAATATAGAGCGAGTAAACTCATGTCCCATTATCGAAGACCATCTTCATCTAGCCTCATTGCATTCTCCTCCATTGACCGCACTCACAAGAAGCATGCGTCTTGCTCTTACTGCCATTTCTACCCTCTGGGCGGCCACATTGGCCAGTCCAACCCCTCACGCCCAAGGCACCTGGGAAATCCTATCCCCTATCCCCATCGCACCGCGACAGGAGCATTCAGTTGCTGCCCTCTCGGAGAACACTCTCGCCATTGTTGGTGGCATTATCCCAAATCCAGACGGAGAGGGTATCAACACAACCTCAATAGTACAGCTTTACGACATCCCCACCGACACGTGGCGATCAGTTGCCCCGGCGCCTATCCAGGTTAATCACCCCAACGTTGTGGCGGCTGACGGCAAGATCTATTTATTGGGTGGGCTTTCTGTTGCCTCTGACGGCGCTTGGAGAGCCTTTCCTGACTCTTGGGTCTATTATGCTGAGCGAGACGAGTGGTTGCCGCTGGACCCTATTCCGGACGGCCAAGAGAGGGGTAGTGCCGCCATGGGTGTTTACGGAAGCACCATTTACATGGCGGGAGGCATGCGCACTTTGGTTCCTGGTCCAGGCGGAGAGCAAGATACTGTCGACTTTGTATCAGCCTTTGACACAGTCTCATCAAAGTGGATCAGACTTCCCAAGCCAGCGAGGAAGATTCCCGAAGGAAGAGATCATGCTGGTGTTGCTGTTGTAGGAAACAAGTTCTACGTTCTTGGAGGAAGGCTCCGAGGCCAGCACAACGTAAAAGACACCGTCTTCATCCTCGACCCCAAGAACTTGCACAAGGGATGGACTACCAGCAAGTCAAGAATGCCTACTCCCCGTGGAGGTGTCGTTTCAGGCACGATTGGATGCGAGGTTTACATCATGGGAGGCGAGGGCAACACTGCCGCCGGAGCAGAAGGTATCTTTAATGACGTCGAGGTGTTTGACACTAAGGCCGAGGCTTGGAGGAAGCTCGATGCCATGAGGCTTCCCAGGCACGGAGGGTCGGCTGTGGCGGTCAATGATGGGATTTACCTTCCTGGAGGAGGCACGAGACTGGGTGGCTCTCCTGTTGATGTTTTAGATGTCTATTGGCCATGAAGTCTGGAGGCTCTACCGACCCTCTTTGCATTAGATTTGTGTGTAAAGAGCGCCGAACTCGCGTCATGCCAGCAAGATAACTTGACCAGCTCCGGAAAGGTTGACGGAACGGGGGACCAGAAGTGAGCACTGGATTGTGGTCTCTCAAATGTATACATATCAAGTCATGTTTCGTTACATTTCCATCGTCCGATTTTAGTATCTAACTGCGTACCATGCAACGCTGCTATTGTTGGGTCCCGTTGAGGTTATCCGACACAATTTAGTTGGCGTCTGTCGGTTTATCCGCCAGGCTCCCAGTCAAACCCTCCTACTCCCTTTAGAGGAAAGATCGATCAACCACGAGAATCAGATGTCACCAAGAACCTAGAGATAAGTTCTTTGGCGTCCCATGGGGAACGGAGATATGGCTGGGACGCATCGTTAACATCGGAAGCATTGTCGGGATGGCAATGAGGAGATGCAACATGATAACATGATATAAACCAGCATGTTTTCCACAACGATACCTGGTCATTAACTCGCAGTGGAAATCTCAAGTCACAATGAGATGAACTCAAAATGCGTCTCTCCCTCTTAACCCTCTTGACCTCTGTCGTCTTGTCAGCTGCTTCGATCCTCCCAGGCATCCCCACTGCCAACTTTACTTCTTGGAAGCATGCCAAGACGGCTGAATTCTCCTCATTCACTTCCATTGTTGTCGACGCAAAATACGCCAACGTCCGTGATCACAATGGCCAGACGCTGATTCCCCCCTCCTTGGCCGAGTTTGCTGAAACCTTCGCGGAAGATTTATCTTCTTTGGGCTTCAAGCTAGCAACACGAATTGGTTCCAAGCCTCGTCCAGGAACTATCTTCTTGACACTTGGCCGAACAGGCGATTATCTCGATGTCGCGGGCCGAGAGACCTCCGAGGGCTACTCGATTGACATTGACAAGTCGATTACAGTGAAAGGTGCCAGTCCGCCGGGTGTTTGGTGGGGGACTCGAACGATGCTTCAACAGATATTACTTACAGATGGAAAACTGCTGTCTGGCAGTATTCACGATAGTCCGGGATGAGGAACTCGGGGAATGATGGTAGGCTTCATGGTCCAAACAGTCTATGAATAGAATCCTCTCACTGACACAATATCAGCTCGACGCTGCTCGACAGTACTATCCTCTCAGCTTCATCGTGGAGCTCTGCTCATACATATCATTCTTCAAACAAAACACCCTCCATCTCCATCTCAGCGATAACCTCTGGAACAACCCAGAGCTGTTTGACTTTGAAGAACAGATGAGGCTGTACGCCACTTTCCGACTGTACTCTGACGACCCGCAAGTCAAAGGTCTAAACAAGAGACCGGACGAGTCTTATACCCGCGAGGTCTTTGACGACATTCAATCCAAGTGCGTTGCCCATGAAGTCACTATCCTGCCCAAGATCGAGGCCCCCGGTCATGCTTTGGTCTTTTCACAATGGAAACCTCAGATTGGCATGTCTTCTGACCACACGCTGCTCAACATCACTCATCCGGAAACCATCCCCGCCGTCAAGACGGTGTGGAAGGTGTTTATGCCGTGGTTCCACAGCAAGACTGTCTCCATCGGTGCACACGAATACAGGGATAGTAGCCTCGACGAAAAGTAAGCAAAGAGCCTTCGACTTCCTGAACAGGTCACTAATTCCGTATCCAGTGCTCTGACAGCTGAGTATGAACGATTCGTAAACGAGCTGAACTACTTCATCACACAAGAATCCGGGAAGAAAGTCCGCATCTGGGGAACCTTTCCGCCATCCTCGGGCAGCAACGTAGACAAGTCAGTCTCGATTCAACACTGGGCCAACTTCGAAGCACACGCCGTTACAGACTGGCTCGCCAACGACTACAACGTCTTGAACTCAGGAGATGACCTGTACGTTGTATCGAAATGGTCAAGCGGTTACCCCCAGGTCTTGAATCAGACCTTCATATTCCATGGGTCCCCTGATGGGAGTGCTTTTGCGCCAAGCATTTTTGATCCTGTCAACGAGACCGAGAATACGTCTGGCGATGATCCGAGAATCGAAGGTCACATCGCTCCGTTGTGGACTGACTGGGGCCCCAACTCGACTACCATCTTGGAGACGTATTACAGTTGGCGGGATGGCCTTCCGGCTCTTGCTGACAAGCAATGGGGTGGCAATTTGACAGAGGAAGAATATCCGTCGCTCTTTGAAGCCCTTCAACCTTTTGTTCCTGGCCAAAATCTGGATCGCTGGATTCCGTCCAAGGGCTCCACGATTCTAGAGTATGACTTTACCCACAACTCTCACCAGAGTATAGTCAAGGATAAGTCTGGTAACAGCTACGATGCCAAATCGTCCTGTAAACTTTCCAAGAGAGGTATCCTTCTTTTACCCTCTTGCAAAGTGACAATTCCTCTATCATCCAAAGGACGAGACTACACCTTTTCATTCTCCATCAATCCAACCTCCAAAAAGCCTGAGCCAATCTTTACAGGCCCCGACAGCTCACTCTGGGCTGGGCACGGAAGCACCACCAACGTAACCCTCGTGGCAGACGACTCAGCTTACACCCTAAACTACACCTTTCCCCTGAACAAGTGGACGAATGCTAAGTTGATAGGAAAAGGACCTAGGGCCTTCATGGCTGTTAACGGCCAGGAACCCATGGAGTTTCTCACCAAGATTGGCATCCGCGGTAGGCGATATGTGTGGGGGAAGATTGCAGTTGAAGCTTCGTTGAGCGTGATTGGCGGAGGAGACTTTGAGGGCATCCTGAGCTATGTCAAATTAAAAGATAATGCGTGAGCGACGGTTCTTAGCTTGTACAGACTCGTTTGAGTGGAGAGAATAAATGCTCCAGTTAGAGCTTGTGACATTTTAAGAGACGCTTAAACTAATAGCCCATGTGTTTTTATATTACTCTCTTATATGTTTATATCCAGTCAATAAGTACTCAACCCCGTTTCCATTTTTCAATAATTATCTGCCACTCCGCCTGCATACCAGCTTGTCCCTTCATCGTCTCCTCCCACTTCTTTAAGCAAGAAATCCACGCGTTCACAAACCGAGCTTTCTGGCACTCCTCAGCGGCCAAACGGTTGTCTCGTGCCCTTGCGTCTAAAGACACTACCTTATCTCGCATCTGTGTGGACTGAGTAGCAAGATGCTGTTTTCCGTTCTTGCCCCTGTTTCTATTCAGCAACTCTGAGTGTGCCGTGATCAACTCTGCATATTGCAAATGAAGGGCATTGTGAACCTCTTCTAGGTCTTGCTGCCACTCGTACATCTCCTCAGAGGGGCGTGTTTGAGCAACCTGATCCTCTTCGGCAATTCTCCTGTAGAGCTTATTGCGCGCACTCTGGTCCGCCATGTGCTCAAGGGAGCTTGCCACGGCTTGCTGCACGAGGAACCTCTCTACGACAGCGGCTGCTGAGAATCCGACATTCCCACCATCCATGAACTCGGCGCCCACTGACACAGGGACAGCATTCTCCATGGTCGCCTGGGTCACGTTGGCAGCGGTGTTACCGGGGTCGAGCGCCGCGGAAACTGAATCGACTTGAGCTTCAACGCCGTGGAAGAATCCATCAACGAATGAACCTGGACTCGCTGCAGCCGAGCTCGCCACCTCCCCAACACTGGTAGGCGGATCGAACATAACACCTTGCGCCGATGCTCCCTCGACGCCCATGGCAGCAACATCGCTGAGCAGGAATGACATGCCGAAGCCAATACCAGCCGTCAGCACGTTGGTAACAATGGGAACAACACGATCGCGGAAGCCACATTGATGTGGTGTGATGCCGTACTTTTTGATGATGCTATTGATCACGTCGAGCTTTGCGCAGGCGACCCAGAGCTGGCGGAAGCCAACAACGGACGTGATGGTTGACAGTCCAGCGGTAGGAAGCCAGAGAATGGCGCCCATCCCGATCTTTGTGGAGTAGCCGTATATCTGACGGTTCTTGAGCACCTCGCGCTCTCGGACCTCATTAATGCGATGGCATGCAACGAGTCCTTCAAGCTTGTTCGAGTACTCGAGGTTGTTGAAGTGGAGCGTGTCTGAGAATCTCATTTTGCGTCTGCTTTTCGGTCGCTGTCTTTGGTGTCTGTTGCCATGACTCACATCTTTATACCCCAGACTCTTCTCCTCCTGCTTCAAGCCCTACAAAACGCCTTGAACGCTCAACTTGGGAGCTGATGATCGAAATCAGGCGATGGCGCTATGGCGCAGGTTGGAGCCTTGTTGGCGGCGCGGCGCCACCTAGAGGTCAAGGGATAAGTCGAATCTACTAACTCCTCTTCGCGTCAGCATAGGTATGTGATGGATGTTGTGTCGGTGGCTTAGCTTATGAAGCTGTCTCGCCAAGTCAGCCCCCTCTAAACAACACAACGCCAGGGCATCCGTCTTCATACGCTCTACGAACCTTGTAGCCACCGCTTTACAAACCAAACGTTTGGCGCAGCACATGCTCAACGACAAATATGACATGTCATCTGAGGCTCAGAGCCCGAATTCCAGACCAGACACGACAAGCTATCAGAATTGTGGGCGGCTGGAGCAAAGCTGGCCTTCAAGCTTAAGATACTAAGATATATAACGAATCTAACAGCGAACATGTCCGTACGCTTCGATAAAAACGAAGATCATGTTACTGAAGATGGCTCCATTGCATGTTTGTGAAATTCCGAACCCCTCGATGGATGGTACACCGCATATCCAAGCCCTACCTAGCTCATCAGCCTCCCCCGCCGCCATCCGTATGAGCGCGGAGGTTATCAGGAAGAGAATCCTCAGATGCGCCACCCTTAGGGCTCCTCGGAGAAAGTACTTCGTTATATTCTGGGGCTAAGATGCTTAACTTTGTCTCAGCTTTGATAGTTCAATACTGAGATAGCATTTTCCACTGACGGCAAGGCAGCTTCGCCGTGTTCAGACCTCATACGCCGAGGCGTGAAGGCTGGGGAATGTCTAGGTGCATATTTGGGAACCATGTACCCTGACCTATTCACGAATCTCGCTCCTATCAAAGAGGTTTTGACTACTTTTCATCAGAAGCTATATTTCAACGTTTTCTAAGACCTAGAATCCTTAATGTCACCTAAAAGGAGAAATAGATCGCCATAACCACCTTTCCTCCTACACCGCAGTTTGATACACTCTATCATGATTGTTCAGGACCCGAGCTAAGAGAATACATTCCTCACAAAATAATTCATAGATAGTAGAGTGTAACCCCAGCCCCAACTGGGAGTTTCGAGCTCGGTGGGAGCCATGGCGTCTGCTGTCAGTCTACCTGGATCAGCTGTGGCGCCCCGACTTTAACGAGAGTGGATAAGCCTTGTTGTTTGTGTACCATCTGTTAACCGTCAGCATGGGTGCAACGGGGCTGGCCTCTCGACATTTAGGTTTGCTGACATGCGACGTAGCATTGTTGAAGTTTCCTTCAAGCAATTACAAGACGTTCTGGCTGAGCTGTTTCTACGATCAATCTTCAACACAAGCTAAAAGTGCAAGCTCGCGCTATATATTCTAGCCGAACATGGCCCAAAATACCCTCAATGGTTCCTCCACCAACCTCATTTGGATGTTCTCGAGCCGACGACACACTGGCTAGTATGAACCAATGCCCCATTCCGTCCAGACTCAGAATACCTCTGAAACAAAGTTAACTGCTCTGTAGACATCATCGCTGGCAGGGACATATATCTAAATATCATTCGACTAAATCAAGGTGAATACCTGAGGAGGTTGACCCTCTAACGCCTTGACTAGTTCCCCTTCCATGATGCCATGTACATAGCAAGGCCCAACAACAAGAAACTTGTTTGCACCCGCTTCACTCTTTCTCAGCAAAAAAGGCAAAGACAACCCAAAAATCACAACTACCACGTCACCTTCCTTCATCGACTCGGGACCAATGCCCATAAACCCGCCAGACGTCATGAAGAAACGCCGAGAAATGCAACCTCTCAACATGCAAGCGTGGAACCATAGCGGATCAACTAAAGCAGTAGCTTCCTGAAAAGCGCGCCATGCCCTATTGAGAAGGGAAGTGGACTGTGAAAATCGGTCCATAAACTTTTCGAGCCAGGCTTTTGCCGAGGTGATAACTTCGCTAGATGCGTCGGCCCTGTCGTCGCCATCGTTCCAGTTACCGCAAAGAGTGTAGACAAATGCCTCTAGCACGGCATCGGGTGACTGATAGGGTCGTTGCAGCAACCCATTCGCTCCTACCGTGTTGGTTTTGAAGGATTCTGCGAGGTTCCAGGCTGATGTGACAAACTCAATGTCCTCGCTGTGAGGTGGGTAATGGGTAGCAGGGTTACTGTTCATGTTTGCAGTTGTCTGCGCCGCGGTTTTTAGACCCGTGTTGAGGGCTTGTACACGCTCGAAGGCGTACCCCGAGACTTGAAATGTATTCTCGTCATCACAATCAATATCCATCTTCCTGCTCAGGCTCGCATTGAAAAGGTCCCGATGCAGGCCCATCGCCTTTAGGGGTTCTGTCCAGAGAGGAACCCATGAGGGACAGTCCTGCATTGTCCGGTCGTCGCTCAGCTCCACCATATGAAGCGGATAAAGTGTCACATGGCTTAGGATAATAAACCAGGTCGCATCTCGAAAGACTTCAGCCGTTGGTTTATTGTAGTCAATAGTGACGAACCTCGACAGATCAGAGCGTTTGGGATCTGGGTTGACAACCTCGCTGGCCATGCCCAAGACAGCAAAGACATGGTCTACCGGTTTCGTGGCTTTCCGTTGACGTGAATCGTCAAGGAGAGGGAGGAGATAGCTAGTACGGCCCGGTAGTTGACGTATGTGACCGAGGTATCGGATTTCATGAAGGGGCAGTCCTTTCCAGAGATCCTCTTTACTGCGCACTTCCAGAGAGTACGAGATTGAGAGCTTTGCTTGTTCCAACATGTCAATGGCTCGCGCAAAGGGTTCCCACTGCATCTCCCAGTCACCCATCATTACTTTGGCCTCTTGAGCCATGACAACCTCTTGCACAATCCAAACACGGTGAAACCATGGCTGCTCAAGGAACCCGATCAGTATGGCCCATTCGGGGGCATAGGCCTCCGGGAAGCCGACCGAGCGAAATTCACCCTTCCCAGTCTCGACTGTGGCCCCCGGTACGGAAATGTAGCTGGGGTCCTCGCGGTTTCGTCTTCCGTTCCGTAGACCTTGTGCTAAAAAGCTCAATACCACGGGCATGTGACCAAGCTCAGTCAAGCGGATACGGCCAAAGGCAGCATCGAGCTTGCGAGTCTTCACATCAGGAAAGACTCGTGGTACACCCTCTACGGTAACAAGTGTTGTACCAAGCCATATACGCACAACCTTGGCCGTCGTGTAGATACCGCGCATACCTTTGACTTGCTCCGCGCATTCTTTCAAGTCTGCCTGGTTGATACAAAGCGCATCAATCCATACAAACCCAGTCGTTTGATCTGAGCATGCCTTGACCCTCCGAGACTCGATAACTTCCACTTCATTGCGATTGTGGGCAAAGCTTTTCCACGGATGTTTGCTGGAATGTAGCAGATGGTCCGTATCAATGACATCCACTCCGTACTGGGCAGGATTTCCGACGGCAGGGAACGGCCGAAGGGCGCGAAGGGCTGATTCGAGATTCGCAGTGATAGTGATGGACGAACCATTACATAAGATAGGTTCAGGGCTAAGATCCTTTCCCCAGACATACGAGAGGGCGTCGTAGCTAGGCGCCGTGTTTCGGTCCGGAACCACCGTGAGTTGAACCGAAAGGGGATCCGCTGGCCAGCCGGGCTCTATCCGGAGGAGACGCATCGAGGTTGCCGGGTTCGGTAGCTTCTGGTAGATTTGGGAGCTCATGTCTGACTTGATTCACTGAGTTAATAGAATTCATGTTGATAAAAGTAAAAACAGAATCAAACTGGAAGATTTAATTCTGCTTGTTGCTCTCTTGCCGCCAGCCTGACTTCTAAAAATAGGCGCCCGCTATGTTGGCCGCATGAGGCGACCCAAGCTGAAAAGAAGCCGCCAGGCATGGGCGGGTATAATACAGGGTCTTCCCGTCTCTTTTTGCAGCCTGATAATCACGCTGCAAATAGTCTGATGAGAACCATGGGCATTTCTTTCAGGGAAAAGATACGCTTATTTGGTGACGAAGCCAGGTCGTTGAACTTCTGCAAGTCAAATGTTCCTACACCATCATGTCATGTCTGCTAACTGCAAGCTCCAGATATCTATGCACAATGGTCAGCTTTCACAAGTCATAAATCCTGGAGCACACACTTACTGCGATATCGGTTAGGTGGCTTCTTGCAACATTGATGGCCGAGATCGTGACGGTCATTCTGCTATTAACAGGCGTTATTGAGAAAACCTACATCCGTCCAGAGGGCGATGTATTCATTGGGTTTATTAGCACGTATGGCCGATTCTTACTGTTCCTCTCACTGTTTATACTGACTTCGAATTGCAAGCGCATCCATCTTAGCCATCGTCACTCTGCAACTCTGGCTTGTCGATGTCACTGAAACACGTATAGATCGATCCATAGGGGACACCCTATTCAACGTTCTTGTTTGGGCCGCATGGGATGTCGTACATTGGGTCGCGTTCGCCTGTGATCTGCCGTATATGATATCTGGGGCTTGTCTTGGTGTCGGCGTGGCCTGCTATGCGGTGGCATATCTGCGATGTCATGCACGGCGGACCACAGTGCTCGCTGGTGGAACTGGCGTGGAGTATATGATGATGGTGTTGCCTGGGCATAACTTGAAGGGAAAGATGCTTGGCAGTAGGTGAGATGGACAAAGTGAACGTCACGAGCTTTAGGGTTGTGTATGGCTGGCCGAGAGTAATTATGTGTTGGTTACATGGACACAGAGGATGGTTTGAGATCTCAAGTTTTACGGGGAATAAAAGGATTTAAAAGATAGAAGTTTGGTTTTATATAGAATTATAGAAGAGAGATCATAGGAGAAAGACCCTAGATTATTGTTGTATTATTCTTACCACTCAATATCAGGCAGGCCAAACGTTCTGGACGGGTTGAATAGAGATCCATGCCAACGTAAGCAGGGTTTCCATGGCCCTGCGTACAAAGGCAGAGAGGCGAGTTCTCACATTCGTAGTGTAGATGTATCGTATTGTAGTAGGTAGCTAAGTAACAAGAATGGACCAAGACCAAAAACGCCAATCCAACATCTATTTGATTATACGACTTGTACCAACATAAACAAGAGTCATCAACTCCATTCGTCCCATGCAAGATGCCCACACGCACTGTCGTGCCAAGGATCACGATCCAATGTCGGCGTGTACTGATTTTGATGCACCTCATCGTCCGCCTCCCAGAGGTCTTGTCTCGCCCTTTTCATCATCGCTGTCGTCACTGTCGTCTCCGACAGCGTAGTGCTCCGTGTCATCGGCCGCCAATCGGTCGTTTGACTGGTCTCGGTTGTCACGGTAATCTTCAAACTGCTCGTCGTCGCTGCCCTCGGCAAAAGCATCATAAAGCTCTCCGCCCCGGGTCCTGCGCGCCTTGGCACCGGCAGCCTTCTCACCAGTGTTCAGACCCTCGGCTTCTTCATCGTCAAGGAGCTCGAATTCGTAGTTGTTACGGGAACTGTTGCGTAGACGACGGCGACGGGCAATCCAGAAGTAGACACCAAGACCAATGCAAAAGGCTGAGATCAGGCCGATGGCTCCGTAGATCCAGATCTGAGCCTTCTTGGAGGCACCAAAGCTTGGGAGCCACGAAACCCAGGATGACGAGGCGGATGTGGATTCTTGGGCCGCCTCTTCGGTGCCAGAGGGGCTTGCTTCTTCCGTGCCGCTGGGGTTAGCTGGGTTTGTAGGTCGCTCAGGGTGGCCGGTAGGCTTTTCTACCAGGGTTCCCTTAGTGGCTGAGGCCACCGAAGTTGTGGAAGCAGGCAGAGTTGTAGTCTCAACAATCTTATCGTGATCATCGTCATCGTGAACATCGGGCATGGGCAGTTTGGTCGCCTTGTCGGCGTCGATGGCTTCACCCCACAGCTTCAGGCGCCAGTCGATAAACTTGCCCTTGAACTGGTTCTTCTCGGTATCGCGAACAATGATGGTCCACTTTCCAGCACCAGACTCACCCCTGTTCAATGTTAGCGTAGATTCACTGAGCGGCGCAGAACAGACTTACCAGTGCACCACACTCATAAAGGTCCAGTCGACATAACCTTCGGCCTTGGCGTCCCGCTCTCGCGAGACTGCAAGGTGGCTGACCACGTTCTTGGGGCTAATGAGATCAACACTGAGATCACCACGTCGTTGGTGCTCGACGTTCATGGTGACGGTGACATGCTCCAGGCGAGCGACATTGGCATCCTTGAGCATATCCTGGGTCACCTCAAAGGTGACGCTCAAACCGTCTCGGCCTTCGGGGATGGGCTTCTTGACGTGGATCCAAGGAGAGAAGTACCAAGTCTGAGGCTTGACCAACTCCCAGTCCTTCGCCTTCTCAACCAGAGCCCACGAGTCAATCTTGCCGTATCCAAAGGTGTGGCTGAACTTCTTGCCAATCGCCGTATCCTGCTGGTTGGCTTCGTCGCCCTCAATGGGCAAAGCGGTGTCCATGGCGAGGTACTGCAAGTCTCTCCAAGTGAGGTCGGGTCGAACCTGAAGCACTAGAGCAAAGATGCCAGCTGCAAGAGGAGCCGCAGCAGATGTACCACCATGGGCCTTGTAGCAGTTGTTCTTTCCGACATCGGTAGTGTGAATGGCGTCGCCGCTGCCACTGCTGTAGGTGACGACCAGCTGAGCTGAGCACTCTTCCGAGTAGTAGGGGTGCTGTCCAGTACGGTCAACAGCTCCCACGGTGATACTGTAAATAGAATTGGTGTATCCATCAAAGTTGCAGTTGTCTCCAGCACCGGCACCGTTACCACTGGCAAAGACGTAGATGGAGCCAAGGCCACCACGGCCCTCCTGAATCGCCTTGAGCATCGCCCTCCGGATCACCACATCGGGGGCCTCCATGGTCTGGCCATCGTCGGAGGGGCCCCAAGAGCACGAGTAAATATGGTTGTCGTCGTACTTGTACATGAGCGCCTCGGCCTCATCCGCATCGCTTATCAGCTTGCTGAGGATTCGGAGGCCAGCAACCTTGGAGTCGTAGGCAACACCAACACCACAAACATCGTTACGAGCAGCCGCAACCTCACCGGCGCAGCGAGTTCCGTGTCGATCGTCGTCCAACTCGGGGGCGGGGACAGGATCGTTGTCGTTAAAGTCCCAGGAACCGGCAGCGAAGTAATTGGGCTTCAGATCATCGCTGTTCATATCCAGACCATCGTCAACAACTGCCACAGTAACGTTTTGTCCTGTAATTCCGTCCAGCCAAAGGCCAGTCACGTTGACATCGTGTCCCAGCTGAATGGGGTTGTAAAGATGCCATTGTTCTGTAAAGATAGGGTCGGCAATCTCCAGCTTCTTCATGATCGTGGCCTGGTATTCAGCAGCCTTATCTCGAGCCGCAATATCGATTGTCTTATGGCCATTGCCTCGGCTGGCGACAGGCAAATCTCTGGGACGCGGAGGGATGATTCGCTTCTCAAGATGCTTGCGCGCAAGCTGCTTCTTGGACAAAAGAATACCATCGAGGGGGTCTAAGCCGCCAATGTCTCGTTTCCTCCTCCTGCGCTCAGTAATTTCTCTCTTTACTACATCGTGTTCGACTTTGGGGGCACGGAATACGTGGTGGTCATCGAGTGCACCAAGCTGACCCTCGTGGGTGAGTCCGAGGCGGTTGGCGATCTGGTCGGGCGCTGTCGTGCTGTCGAGATGCAGGACGTAGTAGTCATTATTGGCGTAGTCTCGGGCGATCTTGGAACCGTGGGCCAGCGCGGTCAAGCCGGCAATGCTAAGGAACGAGGCAATCTTCATGTTGAAGGAAGGGAGGGAGTCTTTGCAGCGCAAAGACGACGCGAGGGAACGGAATCGAGCGAGTCTAACACATCAAGAGAATCTTGAAACGGGCGATAAGCAAAGAATCGAGAACTGTAGAGGGCGACAGTGTCAGCGCTGAAGAGATCAAGACGTCGCGAAGGTTTGCATTCGACAGAAGCTGACGGTCGGATATTGCCACGCGCAATCCGTCCGACAAGCCGGGACAACCAGGGCATTATCAACAAAGGTCGCACTGCGGATTCTGAGCAAATAGGGAATCACCATACCTAGTAATCGGCCAAAAACGACGCGGTGATGAGCGCGGGCTCCAGGGTCGGGGATGGAGAGAAAGAGAAGCCCAAACTCGGGAGCTGTTTTGCGTCGCTGGTGATGTCGTGGCCTCCAACTGAGAGCGGAAGGCTACCATGTACAAGCCAGGTACCAAATTGCGGCTGGAACCTGGAATAGGGGACCACGGCCGGGGGGCGTTAGTTACTGGGTGCCTACAGGGAAGAAAGAGCACGCGGCCACCTTCCACCAATGCCACAATAACCCCCCGACTGCGCCACAATCTAAATCTGGGAGCGAGGCCAGCTGGCGCCTTTTGGTTGCATGAAATGCTGACTACAAAGTATCGCCGAAGTAGACAAGTTCTTCTCAGACAAAGATGAACAGGATCGTCAGCCAGTGAATGCTGCAATAATTCTTCTGCCTGGAACTCTCCTATGTCTGTTTATTTTCCTGACACATCGCAATGTGTCCCCCTCGGTTACGCGTAACCCATCTACCGGCTGGCTCAAAACTTCATGATGGCTCCCACCAACAGCATCTCTTATTCAACGACGCCACAGCTCCGCCATCTGAGACGCCACTCCTGATGGATCTCGTCCACGGCCAGGTCTCGACCCGTGCTCAAGATTGCATGGCGCGCTACGGTCGAGACGGTAAATCAATAGGCGGCTCAATAAGCGGCACGGCCCCGAGCAAGGGCATGTCGGGGAATGAGCATCGTTTCGGGTTGGTAGGTTGCAATGAGGTTACCCCTGTAATTGATAAACCATCGGAGTGACAGCTCACGTCGGGCATTTCTTGCATCAATAGCATCAAATCTCTTCATTCTAACAATTCTTTTCTACAACATAAATACCTATTACCTCTATAATCTTGTCCTAGCGCCCTAACGCCTTTCTTAAACCCTTTCGTCAATCATCAATCCCCCTCTCACAGCGATGCCTCCTTGTGAATCTCAATGCTTGGAGGAGCCCCCGTCAACGCCTTGCACTGTGCGTAAATCACAAACTGCCCTCCCACAAGACCGCATGTCATCACCACACGAGGTCCCAGGCCCGACAGCAGGAGCCGTTTGGGTCCAAATTCCTTTGCCAGTTGGAACATGCGGCTTGTCGCGCCCTGCTTCGGATCGCCGGC